GCTTAGTGGTAATAGTCCAGTGTAGGGTCTCAATTTATGCTCACCTCAAGCTCACCTCAAGGGAAACCCGTCTGAAAACAGAAGTCTTACAGAGGACCAGAGGGATTTCTCTAGGGGTGGATGTACACAATAGCTGAATGATATAACACACTGCTGATTTAGAGCCAGCAAGTCTGACAGATTATTATGAACTCTGGCTATAACCAAGACAGTATTGCAATAGAGCCAGCAAGTCTGACAGATAATTATGAACTCTGGCTATAAGCAAGACAGTATTGCAACTGCTTATTATAGAGCCAGCAAGTCTAACAGATAAACAAGTAGGCTATAAGTAATCTACAAGTAATCTACATGTGATCCACATGAGAGCGATGTAACGGACTTACATGAATGACAGAATGCAGTCTCCTTCCGAGCCTTTTCTCACAAGATAGCAACCGTCGGCCGTGCCCAGCAAATCCGCTGCATCCTCCCGAGACAGGTTACCATGGTACCTGTACATAAAACCAAGTTAACAAGGGGTTAAATCAGTCTGAACGTAGAGGGTTAACGTATCCAAAGGCTACGAGAGAAGTGACGAGCGACTCAGTTTACAAAAAACAACCACCATAACTGAAAATTCTTTTTTTTGAAGCCTAGTGTAACGTCTGTGAAATTATCAACAACTCACTCTCGTCCATAGTGAGTTGGCTTGCTTTCGATCTGAACGGAAAGATAACAGAATTGAATGAAAAACAAGAGCGAAAATAAACTGGCACTGAAGTGCACCAGAAACACACCTCTGTGGGGCAGAGTGCAGCCTGTGGATGAGGCGCTTGCAACTGCAGGGTATAAACTGAAGGAGAGAGAGAGAGAGAGGGAGAGAAAATTGAGGTCATGGGATACACGATGCAATTTAGTTTGTGAGACAAAGTTGCATGCAACGTCAGATGTATACGTATGATAGACCATGCATCATGCTGCATGAAAGCTAAACAGCTCGTGCTTTCACAGGGAGAAATAAGAAAACGAGAGCGCGTGCAATACTTCACTTCAATCTGCCTCCCTTCCCCCTCCTCTTCCTCCACATACACCCCCACAAGCCAATGTATGTCCCATTCTGCCCCTCCCCTCCCCTCGCTCCCTCCCTCCCTCCCCTCCCAGTATTCACTCACAGTCTGGGTTCCACTGCTCGCCAGTCGTCTTCCTCGGGGCTACTGTTCCCAGCCTCTTCAAATGCATCGTCAGACTCTGTAGGACGCGTGACACAAATTGAAAGATAACGTGTAAATTCCAAACCGAAAGAAGGAAAACACGCTTAACAAACAAAAGCCTACGATTCTAAGTATGTGGAAGGGATCTTTTTCACATATTTTCCCCTTCCGCTCGACAGAAAAACACACCGCATTAACATTTCTCGATGTTTAAAAAAACCCGGCACTTCCCCAACCGCAGTCTGTGGTGCCCAAGAATGCACAGCTCCACGCGATAAACACCTTCAAATATAGACATGCAAGTTTGGATACACTGTGCATATTATACACTACACACACACCCACTGACTGACAATATTTTTACTGCCACATGTTATACATTTTCTTGTTCCACAGTACACGTATAATGTATGTACAGGTACGCTAACTATTTTACAGACCTTGAGATGATATATACACTGTTTTCATAAATGAATACACTTGTCTTCTAAAAACTGGTTATCAATCCGCTAATTACGGCACTATGCTACAGTAGTATAATATGTGGATGTAGATGGTAGCATATTGTAGATGTTTGGGGGGCTATGATAGACAAAGGGTTGTATAAATAGACCCTCGCGTCAAGTGAGATTGCCCTCCATTCCTGACCAGAGGATAACCAATAGGGAAAAGGTATAGTTGTGCGTTCATGTCCTTAGGGATCAGAATAGGCAGTCTCTCGTGGGAAATCAGACCTCCGTATTCTTTAGAAAGCTACATTCAACCCATGTCGTGTTTTTTTCATCTGGTTGAATTCATGCTTTCGCCTGACACCAATGGGAGAGAATGAGCGTCTAATTAGCGAGGTGTCCTTATCTAGAGAGGTGTCCTCATTTCAGGGTGTCCTTGGAGACAGAGTTCCTAACCTCTTTCAGTGCGGTTTGCTCACTCAATATTAATGACCACAAGCCACGTGATGTCCTTGGCACCGTTCATACAAATCTTGGCCGGGTCTTAATGGTGCACACATCTACCACCACTCGGCGTGCTGCTATATCCGGCGTGCTGCTACATCCGTGCGAATACCCTTCCGCCTTCTGCACATACAGAGCTAGTGGAAATGCTCGGCATTCTTTGGGGGTGCAGAGCAAGGCACACCAGCAGAGATATCACAGGGCTAGACCAATGGCTTTACAAAGCCCACTCTTGACACGGTCCAGAGATGTGCCGTGTGCAGGCAATACCTTATGTGTACTACACATCCGTAATATGCACGTTTTGTACAGGATACAGGCTAAATTGCATTCTTCAGACAACTTCAAAGACAGCAAAAGAACCATTGACTGTCAATGTTCACAGCTATATATACCCCTCTAGTGCAAATATGGTCTCACTGTATCACACATACACAGTTGGTTAAGAAACTCGTTGTATATATACTTCACTATACTCACATAAAACCCACTACAATGGCAAGAAGAGCTTACACCGTAAAAGGTGCATAACCAAGTCCACTGACAAACATTGACGTACAGTTCCAGTGTAAAACTCTAAGTCATGCATATAGCAGGAAATGAATCCCAACACTTTGGACTGTAGGAGACCTAGAGCCAGTGTGTTTGCATACAAACGCTGCGAGGAATGCTGCGGAATGCTACTGAAGTGTGTGATGAGTTACTGGGTAGCCTGGCTCGTGCCATATCGATCTGGACCATATATCGATCTGGAGTATGGTATATAGAAGCTCTGCGTGTGTTGTGTTGTGGCAGATGCTATGGGGAGTGATTGTCCTTATAGGGAGTTAGATAAAAGGCCAGCACAACTTGCAACTAGCACCAAAGTACTCTCATATGTCTTGCAACATTGCTGATTAGAACGGTGTCCTAATACTTTACTTACACCCGCTATGCATCAACCACTGATATAGGCACTGTAATACAAACACACAACACTCTTAGTCATAGCGAGGGAAACAAGGTGTTGAAAACCACAATCGTTTGTTAGAGACCCCCCAACCGTTTATTATACCGCCTCAAAAACCACTCAGAACGCACTGCTGTATATATAATTTTATTATTATAACATTGCACATCTGTCACTTACAGTATGGGTAATGTACATCTAACTTTACCATTGCATGGTGTATGCAACTTTCACTCGATGTGAAAAGGCCCACTGCTATGTGGCCAGTGCCGTGTTACGAAATGCACAAGTCACGCAACACCACAAGAATGATGCCGAATTGCAGCATCTGCAGATCTTGCCTTCCGACCATTAGTCAATGCATGGCACCCCTACAATCCAATTAACATCATTAGATTGCGCGTTGTTGACCAATTTACGGTAATGGATCTACTGGAAACACCGCACGGCTTGCAGTATTAGACGAGTTTCTCTTGCAAGTATTCTGCCCATCTTGGAAGATTGCTAAGGACACTTCACCTAACTATGCCACACCATAATGCAACCATATGACGTACATGCAACACAGATCTTCACAAACTCTTTTCTCAAATTGTAGACTGTCTCTCGTAGTAGCAGTCGGTTCATAACCCACACAACAAAACGGCCAAGCGTAATACCCGGACTAAAGTTACAAGCTCGTGCTCACTTTTAATTCAGGTGTCTTTTTTCAATCTAGCCTAATTTGTCAAATTACATTGGCAAATCTCCTCAAGAATGGAGCAACTAATTCACAAAGAAGCAACGGCGGTCCCTACGTACCTTTGTCGCTCCATTCTACAATTAGTCCTGGTGGCTCCCTTGACGAGGCGTATCGCTGGCTTTGAAGTTGGGAGGAGGATCAGGGCGCAGTGTACCGGCTACACAGAGAGTGTTGGCAGGGCTCTCGCTGAGTGAATGGGTCGAGGACAACAGTCTGCGCGTCGCATTTTTCTCAGTGAATGACGCTCTGTTCGTTCGGAGGGAGGCAGGAAGGCTCGCATGATATCTGGTAGCATCTGCCAATTCCCACAGCTACACTATTACATGCCACTCCCAGGGGGGAACTGCCAGACGTAAGACAATGGAGAAAGACCACACATACGTGTGCACCCACGGGAGAAACATCACACACAGATTTACCATGGAAAAGAGGCTATATATACACAGCTACACTCGTCGAATACTTTTAAAAGCTATTATACAGCGTGCATTGTACAAGCACACCATTAGAGGTCCTTGCTATAAAACCGCACTTACCGGCACTAACGCCAATCGGCCGTCGCCATTTCTTTAGAGAAAACATCGTATTCTATACTGTACATGCCTCTCTATCTTTGCAAGTACTAGCTGGCCTCAATCGCTGACAACTAAATCCACCACTACAGCACGGGGCGCTTTATGGTGGGTACAGAACAGCGCGCACACACACACACAGCATCCTAGCAACACACACAGCACACACAACAGACACAAAGGCCCTGAATACAATCTAGCAATGTCCCACTGGATGGAAAACCACACATTGTCCCCAAGGTGCTAATTTAGGTTACACCTCATCTAATTTTCCGCACTAAAACTAAAACTGAAGCTGAAGCTCCGCTCACCTTTCCCAGAAACGTCTTCCTCAGAGCCAGCGGGCGAGGGAGACAGGAAAGACACCACAGCTTCCTCCACATGTTCGTAGGGACTGTCGCTGCGGCTCCCGTCGGCCGGCACTACCGCACCGGAGTCGGGCTGCGTAGTGCAGCTGCCGTTCGAGCTGACGCTTTCGTTCCCGCCGTCCGTTAGAAGACGCGGAGTCGGCGAGAGAGGGGAATACTCGGGCGTTGTCGTATCGTACGCAGAGTCGTTCGACGACGAGACGACTTCGTTGGAGCGGGTCCTGTACGGATAGATCCCGCTACCTGCTGCCACGTGGTGTTGATGCTGCAGAAGTTGTGCAGGGGTTGCGGCAGCCGAAAGCGGCGAAGAGGATGCGAGGGATAAAGGCGGGAGCTGCTCGAAGGCAGCGGCGTCGTCTATCGGCTCGTGGTACCCCGAGTCCCCGTCGCCCGTGGGCCTCTTCTGCGGGGAAGGGCTCGGGAGCTCCTCGCGCGAGATTTGGAACACAGAAGACATGGCTGCTTGCATGTGACCTACACACTGGTCGCTCCTACTGTCCTACACAGTTCAGGGAATGCCAACTCAGCTTGGTTTACCAAGGAGAACCTATTGATCCCTCACAATTCCCTCAAACTCTATATACTCTGCTTTCTCACGAAAAACCGACAAGCGTGGCTTTTTTACGCTTTGCCGCGCATACGCATGCGCAAAAAACAGCTGATCGTGGTGTGACGTCAGAATGACGACAACTAATGCACGTGCGCGCGGGGACACTGCACTGCGTGCTGAAGTTGTTTCTCAGACCAGCCTTCTTGTATACCCCCTTGTGGAGCGATCTTTGCCTGCTCCAATCCCGTAACTGGACCAAACCTGACGGTAGGTTAAGTGTGCGTAATACCCACCGAGTTATGGGCCCGCACACCACCGTAGCGCATTTGAAGTGTGCGTTATTTAGAGTGCACCAGTGTTTTGCGCATCCCTTTACAGAAGCGTACCATGTGAGTGTATTATGGTCAATTCAATGACTTTTTCATACTTACCATAATCATCTGTTGGAGTTATACTGTAATGTTGCTCTACAAATACGGAAGTTGGCCAATCTTGAAAAGATTTCTCTATTATACTTTGCAAAAATGGCTATGGACAATCATATATCAGCCTTGAAATTAACAGTAAATTCAATTGTAGAACTGCATGTGTACAAATTGTTGCCCACAAATGGGTATCATTTGTAGTCAAACATCCACCTCCGGCCAGATGGCAGGGGGAATGTTTATGTAGCCGGTTGCCATGGGTGGATCACGTCTTGTACACTTTGCGGAAACCTGTTTTACTTTTCGTTCGAGCTTGTGCCTACACGTCCTGTGTGTTTTAATGATGCTACAAAGGTCACTTCTTTCTCTCCTTTCTTTCTATATAGTATGTACAGTAAAGCACGAGCTGTTGTTTTACATGAGTCTATTTTGATACTCATATGCCGTCTCTCCCTTTTTTTCCTAACCCCTCCTTCCCTCTCCTCTCCTCGCTTTTTCTCCTCTCTCTTCCCTTTTTTCTACCTCTTTCCCCTTTTACTTCATCTTCTCTCCTCCCCTCTCCCCCTTCCCTCCCTCTCCCCCTCTCTCTTCCTTGTAGAGATATGGAGTGGTTTTCAGGAGGTGTACCTGCTGCGATTGCAGCTTCCCGAGTCAACAAGACACTGTTTATTGTTTACGTCTACGGTAAACTGACTAATTTAGCCTGTGGCCCCAGGAAATGGTCATCGGCCCTCCAAGGATTCTCCTGGGTTTCCTGTCTCATCACAGGCTGCATTCTGTGTGTCTGTCTGTGTCTCCGGGTCCAGCCCTTGCTTTCATGTCTGGGCAGCCATTCAATCTCTCTTCCTACTAGCCTTCGATTTTAACTTATCCCTATGAGTTTCCCTGTATATACACCTTTGATGTATTACCTATTCTTTAATTTGGGCTGGTCTCCATAATGGTCTTCTTTGGTCTTGTGTGGTCTTGACATGTACTATTAGTGTATTATGGAAACACTGTGACTGAAATTTGCAAGACCCATTAAAACCACGCCAAGTCTGGGTCTTGGAAATGGTAGAAACGTAGTCTATTCTCCGGACCGCTGCAGACTGCACAAGACAGAGTAGGACTCTATGTGGAGACCGGCGTTTAACCCTTTCTAAAGCTACTGCGGCTGAATTTCTGAATTTTTGTCTTTGTGCTACAGATGACAGCCCGGCCAGTTCAACCACAACTGAAGCGTGGAACAGCTCTCTAGTATGCATTCCATACACACAAACACTCGCTCCTACACACACACACACACACACACACACACACGCTTTGCATTTTCCACTCTGTGTGTGCGGTGCAGGCCACAACACACAGGCACATGCAAACACACTGTACGCTACCTGTAATATTATCACCCTCCGTGCGTGGAAATGCCTGCCACCATATGCCACCAGCTATTCCACTTTTTGCCTAGCTGCTGCGACAATGTGTTTTCTGCCTGCTATATTATAGCGTACACTACCAGTGATGCAAGTAATTTCTCTACTCTCCAAATTTCTGTTCTCTACAAATTTCTGTTCCCCACAGGTGCGAGGCACAATGTCTAGTAACCAGGCAGTGGCAATAAAGATTGCCAAGGGCAGGTATGTAGGAAATCTTATTATGTACGAAGTCTTATATATGTACTGTGAAAACCACTGCCATTAGTATAAGCTATGGTGCAGTCATTGTTGTGATTCACTGAAGCTGGGCTCTGCTTTCAGCAGATGAAGCAGCAGATTTTATTAAACATTGCTGTACTCTGTACTTTCTTTTATGTGGTTCAATTTTACGTCTTTGATGAAGTTTTAACCATTTCCCGTTTTGCTGGGGTTTATACTTTCGAACTTCAACTTATTCTTATCCCTACGCCCTTGTAATGTATCAAGCCCCCATAGGTGGTATAAGTTAGCGGCATTGCCAGGCAATAGGTATCCAAAGAAGCTTTTTAATCAGAAATGGAATTTTAAGCCACGGAGAGGCAGGCAGAGGAAGTGTTGGAGTAAGGTCATTGATGATCTCTTTTCGTCATTAAATCTGGACAAGGCAGAGTGGTTGCATGATATTCAAAATGGGGATTGCTCCTTGAAGGGCTTTCTGTCTATAGTAGGGGACAGCATTAATGAGAGGGAGATTAGAAGGTTTGAAGAGGGGCTAAATAGCAAAGTAAAGCTGTTATTGTATAAGACATTTAACAAGGTGGTAGAGTTCAAAAAGTACTTGCATGGGAAAAGTGATGCTGGGTCTAGATTAATGTTTAAGTTCAGGTCAGGCACGCATGGGCTAAATGAGGAACTCGGTAGGCATAGGGGGAGGGAGGGGATGAAGGAGTGCCTGTTGTGTGATGAGTGTGAAAGTGTGAGTCATGTGTTGTGGGAGTGTCCAGCATATAGTAGTCTTAGGAGCAATTCCTTAGTTGCCCTGTAGGAGAATCTTGGGGATGATGGGTTTGAGCATTTCCAGTCGCTTGATAGTTTCAGGAAAGCATCCTTTATATTGGGTAGTGAGCTGTGGGAGGATAAATTTGGTTCTTTGCTTCGCCTTCTTAAAGGTTTTATTTCGGATGTTTGGGAGCTAAGAAAGGTTAGGTTATATGGCGATAATCCCAGCGTGAGGTGTCTGGGAGGTGAGACAGACACTGCATGTTCATATGGTGTATGTTCGTTTGTTAACGGTTCCGCCCATTGCTCTGGGTGCGTGGTCTATGGCTCTAGTGCTATGGCAGCCACCTGAGTATTATTATTATTATTATACTTTCGAACTGCGTGTTCACTTTCTTTTGTGCGGCCAAAATTTAACCTCCCCAATCGAGTAAATAAGGTCATATTTCATTGGGAAAATTAACAGTAACGAGCCTCGGAATGGAGCAGTCGTTTTTCCACCCTAATCATCTGACTATTTACGTGACTCGTGATTGGCTTGTGTGTGGTGCAATCTGCCAAAATGAGTGCGGCAGCTACTCAGATCCCTGGAGACCTAATTCCATAGACTTCCGCCCTCGAAGAGGTCAGATGCGTCATGCCAAAAACGTGAAGATTGCAGCCTCCACTTCCAAAATTTTCATTTTGATGTGGCCACGTTTGTTCGTCTCCTCATACTCCAAGGGTATGCTAATACCCGTTGATCAAAGGATCGTAGGGTATATAATATCATTATGGTTAGGGAGAATTACTTTTTGGGATTGATTTATACATACAGTACCTGAACTTATAATTCCGCAATTTTACAAATGTTGTGAAATCTGCAAACGGTTTTCCGGTAAGATTTGCTCTGATTCACTGGAGTGTGCAGTATGTCCTATGAGTGTGTCTACAGACGTGCTTGTGAAGGCCAAAGATGTATATATAATTATATATATGCGTCTGTTAGTATGTACATACATACATAGGTATGGCATGCATCAGGCTTTCATCATACAAGTTCGGCTGTCTCTCTGCCCATGTCTGGACTAGCGTCGTGTTCCAAGACACCTGGCTCGGTGTTCATGTAGGAGGACGGCGTGTAAAAGATGAATAAAAAACCAGCAGACAATAAATTAATAGCTATGCATCATCCACATCCTTAACGAGCAACTACAACAACATCACATTTATTGTACAACACGTCTCCATGTTTCCATGTACAGTGTAATGTTCTGTTGTTTGGTGCAGAACAAACGGTGATCCAAGTAGCAGATAGAGATAGCTCAGTACTGGTAACGTATCTGTATATAATAGAGCCGTTGGTACTATAAGTTTTGTAGAGCCCTATGATGTAATACAGTGTAGCCATACTGCCTATGATGTAACATACACCTTGTGAACCTAAACTTGACCTCCAAGATATAAGTGAGTATATACCATAGCTCTTTACAGTTACCATGTGTGGTATGTTTGTTAGGAAATTATGACGTAGCATCGAAGAAAAAACAACACTTTTGATGACGAGTAAGAACACTCTGTGGAAGTGCAAAGTGTGTTAGCTTATGCAGATGCAAGCGGTTGCTGGGAGATGAAAACGCTTTGTGTGATGTCGTTTCGTGTTGATTTTGCCCTCCCGCGTACGTAAGATTACGTGTTTGTCAACGAGTGGGTTTGAGAGGTGTCACTTTCAATCACACGTTTTGTCGGCTTAGGGGATCTGTCTAACTCTGTTGGGGTTTGCTAAATGCCATTTTCAAGGTAGAATAGAAGTATGCAAAACGCTAGGTCAGGTGGGTCAGTCGTGCCAAAGGCCCAAAGTTAACAGTTTTTGATGGGGAAATTCACACGTGACCGTGCATGGTGATAAGTCACACTCTAGAAATGGTGTAACGCCATTACCATTGTTCAAGGCACAGTATATACCAACCTTGTCACTCACCGAAATGGAACAACTCAAGTCTTTGAAAATTAGCCATTACATCATGTTTTCTTGCACAATTCAATTGGACTCAATGAGCATTACATCGTCCTGAATCCCAAGGCTGTACACCCTGCAACTATTCTACTGTACATGAGCAACGGACTATGAGAGAAGGCACTCGTTATGAATGGCCTCTGGTTCGATGGATCAAATGTCCCACTAATGACCGAATGATGGGACATCCTCTTATGCCAGCGACTTCTAGATACATGTCTAATATGCTGCAGTGCATTCTCTGCATTCATCACCGTAGTGGGCACTTGTACAGTGCCGGTTTTGGGGCGAATCTTCGTAAGAAAGAGACCTACAGACCGCGCTGCATGGGTATACAAGTGTCTGCGTGGACACCAGGCGCTTTTCCTTTTTCAGTGGTAACTGACATTGGCACCGATGCTGCAGTGCATTCATCACCGTAGTGGTCACTTGTATATACAGTGCGGTTTTGGGTGTGAATCTTCGTAAGAAAGAGACCTACTGACAGAGCTGGAGGGCAGTAAACAGCGACAGCAGGGAGCGGATTATATCACCCACACTTTTGCAATGCCAAAGGAACGTTTTGAAGGAGCACTTTCCCGCGAAGAATGACTGTGTACCATTTAGTAATTGGAAACATTTAGAGTTCAATATGTGATGTTGGGAACGAGGGGGTGTGGTCTACAGACTCGTAAAGCACGAGGTGCAAAGTTGATATCGCTGTTTGTCCGGTATCTGTGTGGCACTGCGTGTGGTGCCATATTACGTATGTAACTCAGACTCTGGGACTTTCCTCGCTTGCTGGCTGTCTTTTCATGTGACTGCTAGTGTCAACTATTGCGTGCCGTGTTTTGTCTGGGCCAATACGGAAGCTTGGATTTTGGATAGGTTAGTTAGAGTATCTGCTTGGATATGAAGATGGTACAAAGTAGTAGAAGAGGATGTTGAATGGATTCTGTTTCTTATTCTTGGAAACTGCTGGAGTTTCAAATCCGCTGTGTAGCTGATATACAAGCCTGTGGTTTTGCCACAAAGACTTGCTGCGTGTGTGTGTGTGTGTGTGTGTGTGTGTGTTTAGTGTGCCAATAACCCATCTTAACATTGTGCGGAATGACGTTGTTTCACAACCTTCCCAAATATGAGTATTGCAGTGGGACCACGGTTAATATTTTTATTTACATGTGGGCAATTATTATTGTAAGGGAGTGATATATAGTACTAGCAGTGGGTGGTTCACTGAGTTGTTGGATGATAGTAGATGCGGGTGTACAACGGCCCTTGCTGCTGCCGTGTATGTACATAGACACAATGTGTGTGGAGTAGAGCCTGTGTGGGTTCCTAATATCCTGCCATCTTCTTCTTTTTGTGATGGATACCTAGAGGGATTTCACTGATGTGTAGTTCTTTGTTCTCTCACTTTGTGTTTTGATTAACCTCTTCCCCCCCTCTCCCTTACTTCTCCCCCTCTCTCCCTCACTTCTCCCTCATCCCCTCTCTCCCTCATCTCTCCCCAATCCCCCTCTCTCTCCTCTCCTTCCTTCCCCTTCTCTTTTCCCTCTCCCTCTCCCTCCTCTATTTAGTTTGGAGCACCAACAGTTCTCCCAAGTATGTATCTGGCTCACGATTTATAATGTCACATCCGGTTCGCATTTAACCCTCTTCCAACTCATTACATACACTTTAACCCTAATGCTACTGGCTCCCACATTCACATTAACACTCTTCCACACTTCACTTCTTTCTATATACTGTCTCTCACATTGACTAGGAACGTTCACATTAACCCTCTCTCTGCTGCGTATCCACCGCAATCACTTTAACCCCATTCTCACTGTCAAACAAACCTTAACGTGACTCCGCCAGACCCGGTGTTCATTTTCCCGAGTGTGTTCTGTATTGGACTGACGGGGAAAGCCCTGGCAATTATGAACGGCAAACAAACCGCCGATGAACTCAAAGAAAAACTGACAGAAGCTTTTCAGGTACACAGAATTTGCCACTATACATTGGCTTTATAAAACACTAGTGCTTTTATGCCCAAGACTCACTCTATAATGAACATTTGGTGTTTCTAGTTTGTTTGTATGTGGCTGTCTTTCTGATGCGACGTAGAAACTGAACGAAGAACTGGAACCTGTGGCGTCTCCACAAACCGCACCCACTCAGTCTGAAACTCCACCCACCCAGTCCGAAGCCCCACCCACCCAACCGGAAGGTTCCGGAGCTTCCCAGCCACCTCCTCCTATACCTCCGCGGCCTTCTCAAGAGCTTTCCCAGTCTCCTCCTCCTCTTCCTCCACGGCCTTCCTCAGTCGAAGGAAAAGATTCGGCCACTGGGGGGGCAGAGGCGGAGGAAGGGGAAAAATTAGTGCCCCCCAGTGGGGGTCACGAGGGGGCCGAGGGAAGGGGTCAAAGTGCAGCGGCAGCTTGGCAAGGAAGTAGGGAGGAGAAGCTGGAGAGGTCGGTGACTCAAATACATGTCTCTTATGTATGTATGTAATGTATGTAGCTTCAAATTTTTGTAGCTTCAAATTTTTTAGTATTTCCCTGGATCTGAGAAAATTTCGTCATAGCCATTCGTATACTATTTACTGCTTTAAAGTTGCCCTTTAAGTTGTCTTTTGTGTATTATTTGATGGAATCTCATGTGTTTTGTGACATCGCTGTGTGTTGGTTGCAGGGCTCAGCAGACGATTCGTCAGAGGAGAAGAGAGAAGGAGGAGGCCGAAATTGAGGTGAACTCAGAATTAATTAATAGACCTCGAGTAACTTCCTTATATAACTTGTGCGACGTAGAGTGTGTGCACGTGTACGTTGTGTAAAGTAATGTGCTTCTTTTCTCTGAGTAAGTCTGTGACACCATGTGACATCATGTGACATACTTGATTGTGCAGTGTCTTGTGTCTTCCTTGATATAATACCTGATCACACGACAGTCACGTGCTTCCTCCATTGACTATTACATCACGTGCATTGCCTTGTGACATCATGTGACATACTTGATTGTGTAGGTCTCTTGTGTCTTCCTTGATACCTGATCACATGACAGTCACATGCTTCCTCCATTGACTATTGCATTGCCTTGTGATAGCCACACACTGGGACCTCTTAATAGGGGACATTGGGGACTGCGAGAATTCTCGTTTATAGACACAGGGGTGGGTGACCTTTGTAGGCACAGGGGTGACCTTTGTTCAGAGGTATAATACACTTGAGTGAAGACATGGAGAGATATCCTTTATTCGGAGTGTCAATTATATTATGAGGTTCCATGGTACCAATCGTGTGAACAGTGGAAAAGTGGTACCAATCGTGTGAACAGTGGAAAAGTGGTACCAATCGTGAACAGTCGAAAAGTGGTACCAATTGGAAAAGCACACCACATTCTAATACATTAGCTGTACCTCTGATCAAAGGACTCGTCTGAATAAAGATGCAGTACTTTAGACGACCCCAGAGAGGGTTCATTGTATATACCTGTATTTGTGTGCGGTGGTGGTACGTATATTAGAAGGAGAAGATGGCGGAGTTGAAGAGAAGGGAGGAAGGAAGGGGGCTGGGTGCGAGTCGAAGAAATCCCTCGAAGACCTCCGCAGACAGAGCTGGATCAGCGAGAGAAAGAAAGCCAAGGAGGAGGAGAAAGCGGCAAGAGAGGCTGTGAGTGTACACACAGCCAGACCGTCGTTTACACTTCTTACGTACGCGGCCGCTTCCCGAGAGTTGTTGCGTGAATATAGAGCACCCACGTTTATCTACACTCAGTGGGAGCGGAACATATTATTAAGATGTGCATTGAATGGCTCATATGGTTATGAACGTCCCCGTCATAATGTTTTTGCACAAAGGGTGAAGTTAGTGTAAAGGTGAGTTGTGTTTTCAAAAAAATTTCAGATTCGAGCCAAACTGAGGCAAGATCGTCTCGAGAGAGAGGCAGAAAAGAGGTCAAGAGAACAGCAGGCAATGATGACATCATCTCAGACAGGTGCAGTTAGTAAGTACGGTAGGGATGGACATGGTACCTAGCATCATAGATGTATGGGGCTATGATAGGGAGTTTTGTTCATCTTCTTCTTCTTCAACGGTAGTACTTAGTATATAGGGATGGACATGGTACCTAGCATCATAGATGTATGGGGCTATGATAGGGAGTTTTGTTCATCTTCTTCTTCTTCAACGGTAGTACTTAGTATATAGGGATGGACATGGTACCTAGCATCAAAGATGTATGGGGCTATGATAGGGAGTTTTGTTCATCTTCTTCTTCTTCAACGGTAGTACTTAGTATATAGGGATGGACATGGTACCTAGCATCATAGATGTATGGGGCTATGATAGGGAGTTTTGTTCATCTTCTTCTTCTTCTTCAACGGTAGTACTTAGTATATAGGGATGGACATGGTACCTAGCATCATAGATAGGTACAGTGTGTCCTCACTGAACAAGTTAGCATGTCTTCCAACTTGTGTGTGCGTCTACACCATATTATGTCATCATTTGAACAAACGCGTTTTTGTTTACACAGATGGAGCAGTGAGGCAGCGATCTATTCCTTCATCTTCTTCATCTCCTACCTCATCTCTAGGTGCTATCGGGTAATGCCACTGTATATAATATACAACACCCACTGCTGTTAGTATTGTGTGTGGTAGGTTTTTCAGCAGGAAAAAATTTTTTTCTTTTCCTTCTCACGAGAGAGTGAATACTTTACCTGGGTGAATAGACGATAGAGATATATAACAAGAATTATCCAACGAAAATCAATTTTATTGCTTGGAAATGCTAATCAAACTGGCTATACTGTATGCAGTGTGGCATCGTGAATATCGTTACCTCTCGGATGGTCATTTCTTGGCAGAATGTGTCGGGTTCAGCTGAGGCTCCCGTCAGGGGTGAAGTTGGTCCTGGAGATGAATTCCAGGGACAAACTGGGCGCCCTGAGAGATAGAGTATCGCAGGCAAGTCGTTGCAGAGAGCCACCGTAACTTGTGCTTGTTGACTGTTCTTTTACAAGACTCTATAAAGTCTGTAGGGATGAGATTGCCTGAAATTTAACTCACGGCGTGTATGCATCAGACAATATCTTCACTAGCTGTAGCTATATAATTATATACACGGCCCCTAAACTTTCACTTTTGGTACATTGTTACTTCCAAAGAGAGAACGAAATCCCCTGTCCCAACCTGTCCATTTTGCGCTCCGAATGACTATGTAATTATAGGGAGTGAATGAACGAGGGCTCGTTATTACAGGAGACGGGAGTGGGCGAGGAGGATATTAGCCTCAACAGCACCTACCCTCGCAGGGAGCTAACTGAAGACCTTGACGACGAAACCCTCACCGACCTGGGACTTTCATCCGGCGTGATTGTCGTACGGTTCAAGCGGGTATGTCCGTCTCTCGGTGTGACACGTTTTTTTCCCATGTTTCCTGTGGTTTTTGCAGATTTCATCAAAAATTATGCTCAACAGTAATTAAAATTAATGCTGGCATGTTCTTCAACTGTTTTTTGCACGTCAAAAGTACACACTTGATAGTGTGTATGGGAGAAAATCACATGGAGGCATAATTATCCATTTTCCCAGGGGCCAGGAATGGGGGGAGGGGGTGGTGGAGGAGGGGGAGGGTTTGTATGGTTCTGGGCCATAGTGAGCGGTCTGCTGGGACTGCTGCTGAGTCTCGTGTCCGTGGTAAAGAGGATTCTAGGCTGTGGAGATGACACTAAGACGGATAGTGATGAACAACAACAGAGGTACGTAAACCAACATCATACATCATACACTGGTCGGTAGACTCAGTCTTGTCCCAATAAACACCAGCAGCTGTCAATGTTATTTCGCCACATGTTCTTCTTCTAACTCTCCGTTAATGCTTACAGTAGTTCGCTTCTCTTGATGATTACCAAGAGCTAGCAGCGAATGGGTTAATTAATAATCAACGCGTCTCGTTCCCATCAACGCTGGCTGTTGTCTCTCAAAGTCTTCTTCTTGAGCATGCCGAGGTTCCTTCACCTGACCATCAATCTCGACGCACACCCACACACTCCCTGGTTCTGCCTGGGAGGTGGTTAGATGACAGCATTTCCTTCTTCCTCAATCAAAAACCACCTTTCGTTTGATCTCACTCAGATCGTGCCCCACAACTTCCACTCTAATACAATAGCTCTACCCCAGCCAGCCAGGCATGTAATCAAGCATTGCTGATAATCGAGTGCTGCTGATTCTGTTTTGGGCGTAGAGAGCAAGGGGCCAGAAAATAAGGGCCTGTGGGTGGTGCTCTGAGCACTGAGAACAAAGTGCATGTATCACGAGTGTCAACACTATATATGTAGTTGTTTATCAGTGGTTGGGCTACAGTGGAACCTCCAAACAAGGGACACTATGGGGCCAACGATTTTGTCCGTTGTAGAGAGGTCGTCCCTATCTCGGAGGTCAAATAAACACTTAGTGTCCCTTGTAGAGAGGTCGTCCCTATCTCGGAGGTCATATAATAGCATGGGGGTTAAAACAAGTGTCCCTTGTAGAGAGGTCGACCATATCTCGGAGGTCAAAAATAGCATGGAGGGTTAAAACACTTAGTGTCCTTTGTAAAGAGGTCGACCATATCTCGGAGGGTCCCTTATCTGCGGTTCCACTGTATCCCTATTCCACAGGTCGTATGCAGCTGGAAGAGCTACTAGCAGCAGTGGGGGGAGCGAACGCGGAGGAGACAGAGGAGGTGGTGGTGGCAGTGGTGAGGAGAAAGTCGTCCAGATTCTCGCCACCGACTTTGACGAGGAAAGTTCTGACGATGAAGAACGGAGGAATACTTACAACGGAAACTCCACTGAGCAACAGTGAAACTGCAACCTGACCTGCCAGCTACTGTAGCACTTCTTGAGTTCAATCACACATACTTGTTTAACTGGCTTGTTGCCTTGCATCGTTATGTATGAACCTCGGTGTGTTCAAAGAGTATATTACTGCTCCCACGTGTGTGTGACATTTTGTGGAGAAATAACGTATTAAAATTTGGACCACAAACATAATCGACTACTATTCTAGGTGCAACGTGGTATAGAACTATTGTGGAACGAACATATCTGAAATGAAAGTTTTTATAGCAAGTCTGCTGTTGTCGTTGAGTTGTTGATGAAGCGATTCCTCACATATGCAACTTGCTTTTTCTCCAGGGAAACATTCTTTGTATTTAGCCAGCACCACTGATGAAGACGACTAGTTCCACCTCATCGACTTGGTCTGAGTGCCTTAACACTTAATCAGCCGCCGACACAATGTGTCCAGAGCCTTCATAAGTCCATTAGAATATTATATTTATATGGGGTTATAATACTAGGCGCTAATACTTTATACATAAAATTCTGCTTATTTAAGAAGATACCCAACCCAAAGGGTTGATGATAACATAGTTGGAAAGTGCAGAATAACAATGTGTTCTATTGTATAGAGAATGTCAGAAAAGTCCAGATTTCTGAGTGGCAATGAGGCAGCCAATACTGAGGTAGAACAGGACCAGGGGATATATGGCAAGAGCTCTTCGATCCACCGCCAGGTAGTCGTACAGGAACCCCAGAGAGGCTGAAGAGGGAGGGAGAGGAGGAGTAATAATATTTGAGATGTGTCCTCGTCAGAGAGGTGTCTTCGTTTCAGGGGTGTCCTTAGAGAGGGGTTCCACTGTAATAATATTACAGAACAACTCACCCCATATGGACCAGGTGAGGGCACCTCCAACGAGGGCCAGTTTGATGAAGATGATTGCAGGGGTTAGGGAGTCGATTGAGAGGAGGATCCGCAGTACAAGGAGAGCCAGTGTCAGTGGAAGAAGACAGTAGCCCAGAGTGCACACCGACTGGAAGAATGAGCTGCAGAGGATGATCAATAGTCAACACATCTATATACTCTCTGTGGGAACTAAAAAACCCTTTGGATATCTGCTTAAATAAGCAGAAGTTTATGTATAAAGTCTTAGTATGATGCCCACATCAATTCTTATGGACTTATGGAGGCATTTATGTGTCTGTGGCTGGTTAAGTGTTAAAGTGGCATTAGTCTCACTCAACGATGTTAGCACATGCGCATTGTTGATGCGCAGAGTCTATCATACGTATGGAAAAAATTGCGCAACTAGGTTGGCTCGCTTCACTCGCAAATTTATCCATAGATGTTCTCGATGCAACGTACACTTTTCCTTTGAGTAGCTGTGAGTTGAGAGTGACCACACCAGCCCCTCCCCAAACCAGGAGAAAGACATGGACGAAATGAATGGTGTTTTTATCGTCCGAATGGTCGGTGGAGCGACCGTGTAGCAAGCTGGGAGGAGAGGAGAGGGAGGAGAGAGAAGATGGAGGAGGGAGGAGAGGGAGGAGGGAGAAGATGGAGGAGGGAGAGAGGAAAGAGAGGGAGGAGATGGAGGAGAGGAAAGAGAGGGAGGAGATGGAGGAGGGAGAGAGGAAAGAGAGGGAGAAGATGGAGGAGGGAGAGAGGGTGAGAGAGGAGTAGCTTGTCTGCTATATAGATCATGGTAGTTTATATGCATAATAGAAGGCTGTGTGTTGTATATTATACTTACAGTGAAAGAGTCAGACAGAGGCATAGAGGTCCCCACAAGTCCCCTGCAGAGGGGAGTTGAAAGAAAACACAGCAACCTGAATTCAACCTAGTGTTCATCGATACACAATGGAATGTATATACATATCTACACTTTAAGGAGCATCAGCTCTGAATGTGGGTCAGCACCATAACAACAAGTGGATTGGTACGTCACATTGACCTAGATTTCTACTCCCACAAGACACACGTAAAGTAGCTAAGCATTCTGCAAGAAGAAAGGAAAGGCAGGTGTTGCAGAAGGGCTTACAATCATGAAGCAGGGCTTTGTTGGACCTCACTGGTAACAGGACGTGAACAAACTTGGTGAGAATCGCCTTCACGTCTCGAGCCTGTAAAGATCACGTGAGAATCCCCAACGTTTTTCGTCTATGGATCATCGTATAAATAGGACTCACCAAAGTCACAGAAATGGGCTCGTCGAGAGTTCCGATCTCTCCCTCGTCGTCGTGCGTTTCGATAAAGATGTTTCCCGAGACCGCAGCCTCTTCAGATCCCTCCATTTGTGACGGTTCTTTCTTCGCGTTCTCAGTAGGCGTGGCCAGGTCCCCTAACGCGCATGCGCTGATAATCTGTTTACGCACTCACGGAGAGGGCGTATTCGCAAACCTGCTTTCCATCCACTCATCTCCGTCCAATAAAAGATGGCTGAGTCAGGACGGTAAGTATAGCTTTAGGTAGCATGGAACAGACGTCGCAGGGAAGCCGTAATCCCAAGCTAACGGCCCATAACTACTTATATTCCGCGGAAATTGATGGCTCTTTCCCCGCTTATTATAATTATTATACAGACGAGGCAGAGATGTGCGGAGAGTTTTCAAACCTACGGAGTCCTTACTAACCAGGTAGCAATCTGGCTGTTCTTTGAACCATCATATATATCCCATAGCTGCTAAGATTATTTTAACTTTTCCGTTTTTCACCACACTTTCAATGTCCCGTATTCACCACAGCCGTGCTAGCTAGTTTCACTTTCGGTCGTGGTTTGTAGGCACAGCCAAGAGAGAAATCCGTATACAGAAGGTCTGCTGAACCTGGAATTCATTCACCTCGCGCTCATCCCTTTTGCATTGGCAATTAGAGAAGTCTACAGCCCTGGAAGGTATTGCATCCTGCATTGACTGAGAGCAGAATCTACTACAATTGATTCACTTTTCCTCTTATGCAGCAACAATCGCCACTTTAGTGGCCTTCGCCATCTCATCGGTGGTCCAAATGAACTACTGATGACAGCACTCATTTTTACTATTGAGTTTCTGGTTTCTTTTGCTGTCTACTTTCTCTTCCTGGTAGAACATAACCATGCACTTTACATAGTTTACACCTAGGCTATTTAGTGTAGTGTGGATGTATGATGCATTATTTAATGTAGGGTTGGGCGTTCTGTTATAAGTATGCTGGGAGAGTAGCCCATGTCCTGTTCTTGCTGCCACTGGTTCCATCTGTCATCGTGTATCGCTACTGGCTGATGTCCTACTTACTGGAGATCAATTTTCCACCCGGCACTCGATTTACTTGCTGTCTACAACAGGTCAGTGAACAGAAAATGTGCCTAACATCTATTACCATGCATCAAACTTTTTCATTTTCGTAGTTGATACTGATTTTCAAATGGATCTCCTTTGTCTCTGAAAATGGCAGGAAAGTCTCTATACCCATGGCATAAGGAAGACGAGACAGGTGATGTGATGATCCAGCCAGTCGTCCTCGTAATCACAGGGGCACACCGAATTTTGCCTCGTGCAGGTCCAGCTGTGTGGTACGCAGGTCAGATGGAGCCACAAATCGGGTCATTTTCCTCCTACGTCTACTTTCTCTTCTGCCCCGTCCTCCTCTACCGAGACAGGTACCCCAGGAAACAGAGGAACTTGCGAAAAGCCACCAACTACTTTATCATGGTAGGCGTGAGTACTTTAGGTAAGATATTATCTCTTTTTCTCTAGTTCTTGGTGTTGGTGTGGGTATGCTATGTGATTCTCTTTGAGTTTGGAATGCCTCAAACTATGCAGTAAGTCATTAATACATTGCCTCAGACTCTGCGTAGGACAATACACCACTGTACATAATACTCGTGGATCTATAGTAATTGACATTGCGTTGGTTCTAGTAATAATTTCAAACAACAGCCATAATAATAGTACTGCCAGACTGTGGTTTACACCTATAGGGAATATCGGTGGAACCATTCATGAATATGTATTAGTTAACGTATAGGTACAGGAGATACTCCGAGGCCGTTGACTATACCGGACGAGGGCGTAGCCCGAGGCGCGGTATAGTTAACAGCCGAGGGGGATTCCTGTACGCGCCAAGACGCCTGACGTTAACTGATTTGTAGTCCAACTAGCCAATCACAATGCTGAATTTCTGCTGCGTCATCTTGCACTAATGTACTAATGACTGTTGTGTAAACTTTGGAAGCCAGACAATTTGCACTACGCCCAGCGCTAGATGTTGTGATAAGGACTTCCTGTCCAATACTGATACCTGTGCAGCCCGCAGCCCACAGCTCAGAATACAGCGTATATTCCTAGCACCGGGTTGTTTGAAGTTGGACTACAAAGTAGTATATAACTTAACTAAACTAAGCACACCTGGAATATTATCTCATAATGAATAGGGAATCTCTCAATAACCTCTCCCGTGCAGTCGAGACGAGATCCGGCGAGTGGCAGTTCACAACCTGTTCCTGGGGTTCATTCTACTGGCTTGCTCCCACACCTTTCTCCTGCACTGCTGGAGTAACTGCTGGGCCGAGTTGCTCGGGTTCGCCGACTGCTTCTTCTACGAGGTCTCTGGCTAAAACATGCCATCATAGTAGTCCTACACATCTATGATGCTACTAGATACCATATAGCAGTAGAACTCCATAAAAATGAACATGCAGGATCATCAGCTAACATCCTTTTATTACCAGTGGACGGGGAAAAATTCTCTATGGATTTTGGATGGATTGTCCACACACTACAAGGCTTCCTTACATGTGGATGTATTGTCTGATGTACAGGAATGGTGGAGGACAGAGAGCTTGCCAGACTTCCTTCGTAAGTGGAACCCCATCATTCAGGAGTGGCTGAAAGCCTACGTATACAGACCTCTAAGGAGCATTGGGTTGCCTGCTGGAGCTGCCATGCTGGTGATCTTGGTCCTGTCTGCGTTTGAGCACGACTTTCTCCTGAGTGCTGGACTGGGTTACTTCATGCCAGTCTACATTGTAGAGTACGGGATATGTGGTAAGTAATGTACTACTACTATATACTAGTCATTTGATGTGCTGGTGGGCATTCTGAGTGTGGGCCAAAGTATTGGGCCAAAGTGCAGTTCTAGTGAATTCCGTTGCTATATATATAGCAAGCCCTCTATTTAATTGCTGTTACACATTGTCACTAATGGATTAATGTGTGTGTACAAACATCCTTCACTGAAGTAATATACCGTAGTGAATTTAAAGGGTATGTGGCAGTATATATAAAAGGGCTAACGTAATTGCACTCTTGTTCAAATGGAGCCCATAGTAGCACTAATGTGTATTTATACTTTTGAGAGGTATGTATAGTAATGAAGAGAACTGCACGCACACCTCGACCCATACTAAACGATGCAGTGTTGTGCACATGTGCACTCAGCAGTGTGCTTATCTCTGGCATAGGGATGCTCCTCAATCTAAAACCCAAAATGAGTCGGTGGATGGACCAGATGATCATGTCTTTCGGTCTCTCTGTGGGCCTTGGACTCCAGATAACTCTCTACTGCACAGAGGTTGCAGCTGTCATTCACTGCCCAGCCGCCAGCTACAACGCCACCTGGTTCCAGGGATTCAGAATGATAGACTGCTACAAAGAGTTCAACACTTAGCAGTTTTCGGAGGTAGTGTTAGCTCATTTTATAACCCTCGTTTATGCATTTCCTTTGTGCGCATGCCTGTGCGCATTGCGCCGCGTGCGGGTTGTGGGTGTGGCCGGCTGTGGTGGTGCTGAGAAAAGAGGAATGGCGGATACTCTGGACAAACGGAAAAGGTAGTGTGCAGATTCGTGGTTTGATCTCTCTCGTTCTGCGTAGCTATCTATACTTATCGCTTCAATTCCGTGCAGCAAAGGAGCTTCGACGTGGAGAAAGATCTATGCACCGTCGGAAAACCTACTATCCAGGTAACTAGTCCTTCGCCACACTACACACGTTTATTCTCTCCGATCGATGCCTCCAGGAGCCGAGAGAGCGTTAATGTGTACGCCGTCGGTCTGTTCAATACGGGCGCCGCGTACGCTCTCGTCGTTCCCTTCGCCATTCTGCTGCGTGACTCCTTCAAAGCCAGAAGGTGCGTTACCCGTTTACCGAATGTAACCGCAGGAACGTTATAAGCCGATAGATAATAGTGGTGTTATAATGATAGCAAGCACATGATCTCCTGATGGCAGACTCTCTCTGGACTTGGAAGGCTACATCACACTTCTTGGTTACCCCTCTGAATGGGTGGTAGTGGCCGGCATTCTACTCGCAGAGTTCATTTTCTCCTTCCTAATCTACTACTTCTTCCTGGTGTGTAATTCTTACAATTAGTCGACCGAATTAAAAACGCCGTTTCTCTGTACTTTTTCTCTCATCCTATAGCTCTGGGTTGCCTGCTACAGACGTGTCGGTGCAGTGTCAAACTATGTGTTTCTACTGCTCCTTGTAGCGTGTGTGGTAGTGACTCGACTGGCAGTGTTTCGCGCCGTGTTTGAACTTGATATACATCCGGCTGGTCGACTCACGTGCAATATACAAATGGTATGCGCCTACATATGTAATACTTAGAATATGCTTTAATAAAGACATTCTCCGTGAAAATTTGGACGATAAAGGATCGAAACGTGTTTTATAAATTCAGAGGTTATACATAAAACTATTGAAACAAGTGTTCTTGATATAAGGTGTTTTTTATTTGGAGTGTCCCCGAAGTGAAATCAGGAAGTTTATTTTATGTTTCCAGGTGTTACTCTGCATGAAATGGGTTTCATTTATCCACGAAAACGCCAACAAGGTAGTGCATCCTTGGCACAAAGAGGACGAGACAGGTAGGCACGTGGTTTTGAGAGGAGTATATATTGCATTGGTGAAAAATGTGTCCATGGTGCCAAGGTCCAGCTGTGTGGTACGCAGGTCAGATGGAGCCACAAATCGGGTCATTTTCCTCCTACGTCTACTTTCTCTTCTGCCCCGTCCTCCTCTACCGAGACAGATACCCCAGGAAACAGAGGAACTTTCGAAAAGCCTTTGGTCATTTGGTGGAGGTATGAGCACTACTATCGATTGATATATAGGGCCCATCTCTGCTTTATCTCAACTTCAGTTTCTGATGACCAACTTAATCGGCTACACCCTCTTTAAGGACTTCTTACTTCCTCAATCCATGCTGTGAGTAAACACTCTTTTACACAAATTTTGTTAGTGTTATAGTTGTGCTTGAAGAGCATCACTGTAAACAGAAGCACTTTGTGTAGTCACGAAATATTCTTGAAGAGCATCACTGTAAACAGAAGCATTTTGTGTAGTCACGAAATATTCTTAAGTGGCTGCTCAAATTCTACTCACTGCTGATGTGTTGTATGGTACATTGTGTGGAGGCTGATACTCTTACCAATGCAGACTGGATGATTTGGTAACCAGCCTCCTTCGCTGCCTGTTCCTGGGGTGTGTTCAGCTGCATCTTGCCCACACCTGCGTCGTGCATGGCTGGATGAACATGTCTGCAGAGCTGACCGGCTTTGCCGATCACAACTTCTACCAGGTGAGCTAGCCTGCCCACTTACCGTAATAATTATAGCTAGCGGAGAACCCCAAGAGAGAAACCAGCTTTGAGATTTGGTGGAATTATTTGCAGAGAAAACTTTCTGTCTTGCCAGTGCATAGTGTGGGAATCAGCAAATAATCCAGTGGAAAATTAAAAGAATCGGGTTTTAATGAACCAAACGCCATTGAATTTAACAGTATAATCGTCGTTTTCATGTGGATTTTGGGGTGCATGGGGCATGATCTATGGGACTCCCATACATCTACGTATGTACCACCCAGGATTGGTGGAACAGCCAGTGCCTGGGGGAGTATCTCGGAAAGTGGAACCCAGTCATTCAAGAGTGGCTGAAGACCTACTTCTACGCATATCTCAAGAACTGGGTCCCGCGAGCTGTGGCACTCCTGGCCATACTAGTCCTCTCCGCAGCTGAACACGACTTTCTGATCGGGACTGGAATGGGATTTTATATTCCCATGTACCTTGTCGAATACGGACTCATAGGTATGTCCAATTATGTTTCTGGGTGTGTCTATGATTCATTCACCAAAATTTAAAACACAAACTGCTTTATAATGCATATATAGGCCTTCAGTACAGACAAGCCTACATTAAGTTCAAATCGCCTGATGTGAATTTCAATCTGAGTTCCAACTATTTCAGAGGATTCTTCACGCCCTTCAGGACTTGCTAGCTATGTAGCTAGTAGTTCTTTTCATAACGTCCAAATCTTTCAGATATCATGAAAGACTGATATTTTCTCTTGAAATCAGGGTTTTTGCTCAGCTTCAAGCCGCCACTGGGGAAGCAGACGGACCGGCTGATCATGTGTGTCGGGCTGTCGCTGGGAACTGGTATACAGATGGCCATATACCTCACTGAGCTGGTGGCCCGCAGTCAGTGTGGCGAGGCCTCCTCCAGCTGGTTTGAAGGAATGTGGGCATTCGAGTGCTACAGACGTGTCAACAATTGATCTTTCTACAGCAGTTCACGATTTCAATTTGGCCACCCTAGTTATTACATTAACAGTTGCAATGCATAAGTGAATGAGTACATGATAATAATTATGGTATAATATTATATCCACGAGTGTCAGAGTTATTAATATTGTCATAAAATGTGGAAAAATCATGCACGCGTTCAGACGATTTTTAGCAGCTGAATATATACCTTGATAATACAGTTTATATCTATTAAACTATTTCTAGCCTTCAGACAGTTGTTTCCACGTTACACAGAGCAGGAAGCAGGTCCACGAAAATGTCGATTCCTCGGAGGAAAACCCTCTCGTTGAGTCTCTCGTTATGGTCGTGGAGCAGGATGGGGGTGTGGTTTAGCGGGGAGAACCCGAGGCAAGGGATTCCCAAGGTACGGAGGTACCGGCTGTCTGTCCCAGCTGGAAATATCTCTTTCTCCAGTTTCAGAGAACTAGAGAGAACTTAAAGAAGTTTGTTAGAAAAAGTTACTGGAGGGCTCACTGTTTATCACAGGTAGTAGAGAAAGCTCTCCACCACGGGTCGCTGTCATCCGTGGACGTCATCGGGTACTTTGGACTCTCTTGGATGAATTTGAGTGTGCAGCCTTCCCCGGCCTCGTCCAGCCAGCCCTGCACCATCCTCAGTATCTCCTGGTGGTCTTCATGTGGTGAGAACCTCATGTCCAGCACTGTGGGGGGGGGTGTATAGTGGATAATGTAGCAGTTTACAGACCAACACGCACTTTAAAACTCTAACACTTATGTATGTACGTAAGTGTTAACTAAAGCATCACAAACCACTGTTGCAGGAGTTACAAAACACTCTAAAAATTGCAGCATTATTTATAACCAAAAAACAAAACGGTATATACAAGAGACGTGCTGCTGCGTAAGTACAAGACAGAGCCGGAAGAAAATGAAACTGCTGCTTACCAACCACAAACTTGTTTGGAACAACATTGTGCGTAATGCCACCCTGCAAAAATGGAGAAAAAATGAAGAAGGGGCTTCATTACTACGGAGCCTGCAAAAAGTAAAGTAGCATTAATCTCACGTGAATCTCAGTGACGTTGATTGTCGTGACGTCACCAAGTTTTAGACATGGGGCACCTTCCAGTCTATAAATAGTAACACATACACCACATACACTGTGTACAGTTGCATTGGACATACGTACTTGGTCTTTTGCTCCTGTCGGTAATGCCAAAGCCTGCCTCAGCAGTTTTTCCTAAACAGACAAAATGTGTAGCAATTACTGTATACTGCTGGACTCCAAAAGGTGGAGTGACCCCACAATACTCTGAGTTCAGCGCAGGGCAGGGTATATTTGAAAATCGGAACTCACAACTTTCTCGACGGCAGTGTTTTCAATGAATCTTGAACCGTGGCCAGGGTTTCCAGGGCACGTCACCTCAATCCCTATACACAATACAATACACACACACACACACAGTAGACATAGAAAGCACCCTACTTACAATGTGCAGACCTCTCTCCGTAGTACACAGACATTGCCTCGGTCGGGTTTGCAAGCCCTTCGTCCAGTGCAAATGCAACGTTCATCTTCTTGAATCTCTCGGTCTTAATGAACAACGCCATTCCGAGCATTCCACCCATTTCCTCGTCTGTGCGAACACACTTACTTCAGTTAAGTCACGTTTTGGGCAAAGCATTATCGTGTTCAGAACACACAATAGCCTAGGTCGACAATAGTTTGTCTCACTAGTGGCTTTCTTAGAGCTCAAAATAATATATATATGCAACAGAGATTCAAAACTGTGGTTGAGAGGGAGATGAATGTCTTACCAGGTACAGCAGTGATGTATAAAGTTCGACTGAACTTAACTCCACTTTTTTTGAGCCTTCGGAGAGCCTCCAAATGCCAAATTATACAGCACTTCATGTCCTGAGCAGAACACGATAATGCTTGGCCCAAAACGTGACTAAACTGAAGCAACGGTTTATACCTGTGTACCCCTGCCATAAATGTCGCCGTTTTCATCTTTGTGTGCAGCAAACGCATCATACTTCCAACAGTCCTATATATAGAGCAGTCACACAATGTGTATTACAGAAAAATTTGTTGAATGGACACTGCACTAAACTGTATAAACCACCCACAGGGAAAACGGGCACGACGTCGTAGTGTGAGTTAAGGAGCACCGATTTCAGCTCTGGGTGGGTGCCCTCCACTGTTATCAAGACAATTTTATTTGCAGGAGTAACCTGAGAACAGTGTTCAACATTGTTATATATAGCTAAGACGGTGAATATATAGCTACGTATCACCTCTATTAGCTCGTGGGGTAGCCCAATGTCGTCTGCAACAGTCTGGATGAACTTGACCGCCTCGGCTGATTGCACCACACCGCACAAAGTCAGCTAGCTATGCATATAAATAAAGTGTCCTACCGTAGTGTTGGAGGTAGTTATCACCCCTGGAGATGGACGGTATGCGAATATACTCCCTGAACAGCGTGACGGCGGGATCCTCTGCGGGCGTGTCGGCGTTCGTGGCTACTTGCACGCAGGTCTTGCCGTTCACTGCCTCTGTGCAGCTGTCGCCGTTCAAGACGGCTTTGCTCCGTGACTTCTTGGCCGGAGGAGACTGAGCAGACGCCATCTTCGGTCACCTGGTTTGCTGAACGATCGACGTACAACGTCTGAGCTCGGATGCACACGTGCATATGCGATGCTGCGCACACGACGACGACGAGCCTAGCCCCACCCCCGGCCCCCGAACCGTGAAAAAATCCCAGGGAATTTCCCCTCCCATTTTTGAGGCGGCCCGTCATCGGCGGCTCTTCGTTGAGTTCAAGGCCACCTACCTGCGGCGTGACGACGGACGACGGAGTAATGAGCGAGACTACTGAGTAAGTTTTTGGACTGTAGCTGGTTTTGGTTTCTGCGTGCGTGTGTAACCGACACTGGCAGCCATTCACATGCAATCAACTTGTATACTTGTGCGCCTGTAGGCTCCAGTCTTTCCTGTGATAGCTAGCTAGAGACTCATTCAGTCCCCAATCATCTGGATAGGGCAGTTTTCTCCTTTTCTGTATAATTATACAGCTATCCGTATGCACGTTTTATCTGTTCGCTATCCACTCCGTAAACTAACGTGTCTCTCAACGCCTCACGCAAAGTGTGTAGGAAATGTTGCTCCTCGGCGAGCGAGGTCATGCACACAATGAGAGGGACTCAATACATAGGGGATATAGGTCCTTGCAAACAAGAACTGTTTGTTTTGCAGTCCGTCAGTGCTGCCCACTGAAACGGGATAGATAGGTGGAGGTTTTCCCCTTGAAAATGCTTTACAAACTATGTGGTTTAGAGTAGTGCCACAAGTCTGTCAACCCACAATGAATTCTCCAGTGCAATCGTATACATGAGCTGTGTCAGAACACTTATAATATACACATACGTGTATATAGTAATGGGGGATGAAAGTGGTGGTTTTGATCATAAAATATCACAACCTTAGGTTAGAGTCACATGAGGGGTTGCTACTGGATGCGCTCAAGGCTAACAACTTTGAACTGGTTTTCGAGCTGCTCGAAAGCTTTCCATATTTACTGACGAAATGTCTGGACGACAAGGGCTATACGACTCTACACTATGCCAGTAAACACGGCAATTTTGATGCCGTAAGCAGACTCCTGGCAGTTGTGTGATATAACTGAGGAGGTCCAACAGCTCTATCAGCGGTCCCCCACTCCTGCCGAGGTGGCTAAGGAGAATGGTCACTCGGAGCTGGAAAGCTTTCTAATGGCTGTTTTTCCAAAAAGCGATCCCGGTGACCCTGACGATGAACTGGTCTCGAACGAAACACAGCAGGGAGGAGGAGGACCACAGTCAAAAGACCCTGCTGCGAGAGCAGTAGAAGTTGATGCAGAGTTGGATATTACTGGGTTAGAGTCTCGTAGAGGGAGAGGTGGGGTGAGTGGCGTAAGGGGCAGTGGAGGAGGAGGTGTGGGAGGACTCTTTGCGAATCTTCACGGCCTTCTTGGAGCTCTTCACGGAGCACTGGAAGGTGAGAGAGGTGAAGAGTTGCCGTCTCTCGACGAGCTATCCAACCTCGCTTCTCAGGCTGGGCTGGAGCTTCCCTTCCTCCCTTTCTTGAGCAGCAGAGGAAGTGGGGGTGGGACTAGCAATAGAGAGCGTGGTAGCAAGAGAGAAAGGCAGAGAGAGAGTGGCGTCACTCCTCTCCACCTGGCGTGTCTCGCCGGAGACGAGGCGAGGGTCATTAGTCTAGTCAACGACGAAAACATGGACATCAACAAGAAGGACTTCAAGGGGCACACGCCGCTCATGTGCGCGGCGCAGGAAGGTCACACTAAGATAGTCCGGTTCCTTGTGTCTCGCAATGAGTGTGATGTTGATGCCAGAAACAATATGGGAATCACTGCCCTCCACTACGCAACAAATTCCGGTCACAGCGACGTAGTCTCTATCCTCCTCCAAGAAGGAAACTGCAACAGTATGACGGTCGATAATGACGGCGATATTGCACTACACACAGCAGCTATGAAGGGATACACAGATATTGTCGAACTGCTTGCCGGGCAGAATAATTGCAATCCAATGCACGCTGATCACAGGGGGCGAAATGCTCTTCACTGTGCTTGTCAAGAGGGCCATCTCCCCGTAATCAAGCTGCTTGTCCTTGAAAAGGGATGCGACCCAAATGTTTTTGAATCTGATAGAAAAGTTAGCCCACTGCACTATGCCGTTGTACAAGGTCACATTAACGTAGTGGAGTTCCTTTGCCAGTTGGAGAATGTGGATACGGAGGCTGTAGATAACCAAGGCCGAAACTGTGTGTTCAAAGCGTGCCAAAATGGGCACACTGATATAGTCCGGTTTCTCATAGAGAGGTGTAATGGGAACTACACGCTGGGTGATAGCGAAAACATTGTGCCTTTTCACGTTGCGGCCTACGAAGGTTCTGTTGAGATAGTCGAGTACCTTTCGCAGCGCCCAGGTATCGATATTGAAAGCAAGAACATAAATGGAAGGACTGCACTGCATTATGCCTGTCAGGAAGGAAAGCTACCCGTAGTGAAGTGCCTGATAGAAAAGTGTAAAAGCTGCAACAGGAATTGCGTGGACAAGGAAAATATAGCACCACTTCACCTGGCCTCACAGAACGGGCACTCTGAGATAGTAGAGTACCTCTGCTCAAACGAATACGACTGCAGCGATCCTATGTGTAAAGATAGCCGTGGTCGTACAGCGCTCCACTGCACATCTCAGATTGGTGATGTTACCACTGCAAGGTACTTGGTCGAGAAGCATCACTGCAGCCCAGCTACCCCAGATAAAAGAGGAATAACTCCATTTGACCTGGCAGTTACTCTGGGGTGGTCGGAATTAAGAAATTTCTTTAAGAACCGCATGTCCCCTGAGGACCGTGAAAGTATGACGGAGAGGTTGCTGAATGCAACTCTAAGCAGCTCTGTAGATGCCCTGCAAGAAAATCTCCCACTGGGGCTTGCTAAACGTGGACAGTTAGACAAGCTTAAGAAGTTGTCACCAAGAAAGGTAAAGATTTTGTAGCACAACTCAAAGAAAGTAACGGTGATACAATTCTGCACGTTGCTGCTTTCGCAGACCAACTCATCGTTGTTCGATATCTAGTGGAGGAATGTCATTGTAGTGAGACGTCACTTGGGCAAAAGGGGCAGACTCCATTGCACAATGCAGCGCACGATGGGCACAATCAGGTGGTGCAATACCTTGCAGACCGAGCACCAAACAGTGTAAGTCTCCCCGACAGCAATGGGCGAATACCTCTCCACTATGCATCCCAGAATGGGCATTTTGTCGTAGCTGTGACTCTAGTGGACAGCTACCACAGTGATCCAGTGGCAAAAGGCAAGGAGGGGGTCAGCCCCCTTCATCTGGCTGCTGGGAATGGGCACATAAAGATAGTCAAGTTCTTCATTTCCCAGCACCACGCCGACACAAGTGTTACCGACAATGATGGTCAAACAGTACTCCACTCTGCAGCTCGAACGTCAAATTTAGAACTAGTCCAGTACCTTGTGGAAGAGTGCGGCTGTGATCCTATGCAGCCTGATACAGCGCATGGTGTGACTTCACTTCACTTTGCCTGCTTGACGAATCGTTTGGAGATTGTACGGTACTTTTGCTCGCTAAATTCATGTAACCCAAATGTGACGAACAAGGAAAGTAGAACTCCCCTACATTTTGCATGCCAAGAAGGTCATTTAGAGGTGGTCAAATTCTTAGTGGAAGAGAAAAGCTGTTGTGCTGATCCCACAGACAAGAACTCTATAACACCACTCCACCTTGCGGCATTCAATCTGAAAGCAGACGTAGTACGTTACCTGGCCAAGCTGGATTCGGTCAATCCCGAAGGTAAAGACAACAAAGGTCGCACGGCCCTCCACCGTTCCAGTCAGCGTGGCTCTCTAGAGATTGTGAAGTTTCTTGTGGACGAATGTAACTCCGACGTAATGTGTAGAGATAAATCTCATGATGTTCTTTCAATCCATCTTGCCGCCAACAATGGCCACACTGATATCGTCAGGTATTTGTGCAATGAAAGAGGGTGCCCCGTAAATGCTCAAGACCGACACAAGCGCACTCCGCTTCACTATGCTGCAATGGGGGATCACATAGGGGCAGTCGAGTATCTTGTCGTCGAAAAGAAGGCCGATTTGTCAATCAAAGATGAGGGCGATATGACCGCCTTTGAACTGGCAGTGGTGAAACGTTCCAAAAGGGTCGCAGAATTTCTTCAAAAGCAAGGCTGTTCAGAGGGGAAATCAACTGGTATGTTCTCTGAACTTCTGAAAAATATTGTTGGATTAGGAGGCGATGTGAAAGATCTTCGAATTCTCCATCTTGCATCGGGTGGAGATCTCGCTGGACTCAAGAATGCTTACTCCAGTTGCACTGGGAGGCCGGGAGTGGTGGGCGAGAATGGGGAGACACCTCTCCATCTTGCTAGCCTGGGAGGCCATTTAGAGGTTGTCAAATACCTCATGACAGAACAAGGCTCGAGCAGCCTGAACGCGACTGATCGGCAGAAGCGGACACCAGTGCATTGTGCAGCACATGAAGGTCACACCAACATACTCCGCTACTTTCTAGGCAGAGGCGATTGCGATTTTCGTGTGGGCGATGAAAATGGACGAAACCTACTTCACTTTGCTGCCCAGAACGGTCATTTGACAACAGTTGTGTTCCTTGTCGAAGAAGCGAAATGTAACTGTATGCTTGAAGACGAAGAGAGGACAATTCCTCTTCATTTGGCTGCTTTTAACGGACACCTAGCCATTGTAAAGTACCTAGCCAATCAGAAAAACTGTGATCCAAACTACCCGGACGACAAAGGCCGAACTGCACTTCACTGTGCAAGTCAGGAAGGCTACCTCGAAATAGTGGTCTTTCTCGTAAGCGAGTGCAACGCTGACCCCATGACAGTTGATTTCGCTAGTGTGTTCACGTCCCTTCACTTTGCTACAGCAAAGGGACACACGGAAATAGTGCACTACTTTTGCTCACTCGATTCCTGCAGTGTGGAGGTCAAAGACAATGAAGGACGAACTCCTATGCACCAGGCAGTCCAGAAGGACCAGCTTGCAGTTGTCAAAATGTTGGCAGAGGAGTTTCATGCCGATTGTTCCCCTCGCGATGAGAAGGGCATCAGACCGCTTCACATGGCTGCGTTCAATGGGAACAAGGCAATAGTGGAATACTTGCTCGAGCGACCCGGTCTAAACCGCCAGGCTAAGGACAGTAGTGGCCGTACAGCACTCCACTGTGCTAGTCAGCAAGGCCATTTTCCTGTCGTAGAGACTCTAGTCTCGCGATACGATTTCAATTGCACCGAAAAGGACACGTCTTTCAGTGTCACACCTCTCCACCTTGCTGCGGCTTCGGGGCATCTTAGCATCGTCAAATTCTTCTGCTCCCTTGTTGACCCAGAAGGAGTCGACCCAGAAGTAGTTGACCGAAAGAAACGCACACCGCTACACTATGCCTGCCAAGAGAGTGCAGTTGAAGTCGTGAAATTCCTAGTGGAGGAAAAGAAGTGTAGTTTGACTGCAGAAGACGAAATGGGACTCACTCCAATGCAGCTGGGGAGTGTAGTCGGAACCCCCGAACTAGTTTCGTACCTCAGTCAAAAAGGAGGCTCTTCTAAGGGAGGAAACCCACTGGAAGCTCTCGGCGGGCTAGCTGGTACCCTGGAATCTATGATTGGCGATAAGAAGTCGTTTGCACCTCGAATGCTGGCCATCAAGGGAGACTTGCCGAGATTGAAGCTGGCTCTCGCACAGGCTGGGCCCGATGCGGTGAAAATGCTGGGGGGACAGGGCGAAACCATTCTTCACAATGCTGCTTTTGCTGGGCACCTTGATATTGTCAAGTACCTTGTGACAGAATGTAACGCTGACATGTGTGCTCGAGACAATGAGGGACACAGTCCCATACATAATGCTGCTCACGAGGGTTTTGTCGAAATCTTGAAATTTCTCTCGTCCCGACCCGGTTTTGATGCTAATCTGAAGGATAGGCACAGTCGTATGCCTCTTCACTATGCCAGCCAGAACGGGCACGTAGAGGTTGTTCGCTACCTTCTAACAGAGTGTCAGTGCAGCTGTATGGCAACTGATAACAACGGAGTGTTTCCCCTTCAGCTAGCCGCTGGTAAAGGCCACTTGGGGATCATGAAACTAATGCTTTCAATACCGGGCGCAAGTGTCAATCAGCCTGACAAGAGTGGCCGCACGGCAGTGCATGTTGTGTGTCAGGAAGGTCACCTCGACACTCTGCGAGAGATGGTTATGAACCACCAGGGAGACATTACCAAGCATGACATAACCCACGGAGTTACGCCACTGCATCTGGCAGCCAATGGTGGCTACATCCATGTTGTCAAATTCCTCTGCTCCCTTCCAAATTGTGATCCCAATGTGAAAGATAAACACGGACGAACCCCTCTCCACTACGCTGCTCAAGACGGCCAACTCACCGTAGTCAGGTACCTGGTCGAGAATCACAACTGTAACGTAGCCAGCAAAGACTTGCAAGGCATCACACCCACTGCAGTTGCCAGCATAGCAGGCAAATTGAATGTAGTGAGGTACCTCAATACACGTGGCTCGCCCGTCCCCGAAGGAGATGAAGTAAGTGGAGAATCGAACGCCGAGCTAAACAGCATCATAGTCAATGCCCTTGCCTCTAGGGGAGACCTTGCAGAACTAAAGCTAACCATGGAAAATCTTGGCAGTGGTTTCATGCCTAAGGGTCCACTGGGAGAGACGCCGTTGCATCTTTCTGCTCATGGTGGCCACTTGGACGTGGTGAAATACCTCATCGACGAAAAAGGATGCGATGTCAATTTGCTTGACTCTGCAAACCACACCGCCTTGCACTGCGCTGCAAATCAAGGGCACCTGGAGGTACTGCAGTTTCTCCTGCAAAAGAGCAACATTAGACTTGATACAGCAGATGAGAACGGGCGGACTGCTCTGCACATGGCCACTCAACACGGAAGCCTCGGTATGGTCTCTGCACTGGTTGCCAAAAGCTCCGAGAGTGTCTTTATCAAGGACAGTGAAGGCACGACTCCACTCCAAATCGCCTGCTACTGCGGACACGTAGAAGTGGCCAAGTTACTCGTTTCAAAAGAAAGTGATCCAGAAACAAATGACAACGACGGCCGAACCTCCCTGCACTGTGCCAGCCAGCAAGGCCACTTTCCAGTCGTCACCTACTTGGTGGAAGATTGCAAGTGCAACTGTGCAGTTAAAGACTTCGAAAAGGGCATCACTCCACTCCATCTTGCAGCAAGCAACGGCCACACGCAGATCGTGAAATTTCTCTGCAACCAGAAGAACTGTGACCCAGAAACAAAGGATTTATACGGAAGAACCGCTCTCCATTATGCCTGTCAATCGGACTACATTGACATTGTCAGATATTTGGTCTTGGAACAAGAGTGTAACTGTGATCTGAAGGACAAACAAGGCACCACTCCAATACAGCTGGCCGCTGTTGCCAGTTCGACCCAAGTTGTGAAATTCTTCAAGGACAACAACTACGCGGTTTCGCTTCCGGAAGAGTTGGAGCATCTGCAGGGTGCAGGACGTTGGCTGCAGAGTATGGTCAGTAGTGGTTCAAAGGACACAATCACCGTTAGAAGACACGTCATAGATGGGGACTTGGCGAAAGTCAGAGCTGCCCTCCAAGCTAATCCTTCCCTTCTGCACACACTAGGCGCACAGAATGAAACTCTTCTGCACAACGCAAGCTTTGCCGGTCACTTCGAGATTGTTAAAATGCTCGTGGAAGAGTTCAACAGCGACGTCAACCTTCAAGATGAAGATGGACATACACCTCTTCACAATTCTGCCCATGAGGGGTACACACCTGTGGTAGAACTATTGGCCAGCCAACCAGGCTGCAACGTCAATGTCTGTGACAAAAACGGTCGCATTCCTCTCCACTTCGCCGCTCAAAATGGCCACGTTGCGTGCGTCAGAATACTAGTGTTGAGGTTTCACAGCAACGTAATGGCTTGTGACAAGCGGAGGGTCACACCACTTCACTTGGCTTCCGAGAGTGGAAACACTGAAATATTGAAGTTTCTGATACAAGAGGGAAAAGCAGACCCTAAACAGATTGACGTGAGCGGCAGAAACGCCCTTCATTCGGCGAGTCAGCAAGGCTTCTCAAGCATAGTAGAATTTCTGATCGACGAGTGCAAAATGAAATCCAACACTCCCGACGTATCTCATCGAGTGACCCCTCTCCATTTGGCAGCCAACAACGGAAAGTTGGAAGTTTGCAAGTTTCTGTGTTCGCAGCCCGACTGTATCCCGGAACCCAAAGACAAGCACGGTCGCACACCTCTTCACTACGCCTGTCAGGAGGGCTACACACGAGTAGTGAAGTATCTAGTGTCTGAACACGGCTGCAACCCGTTGAAAGAAGACAACAATGGAATCACCCCCTACCATCTAGCCACTGCCAAAGGACATTCGGAGATTGTGAATTTCGTGAAGTTGCAACACAGCGAGTTGCCTTCACCCTCTGCAGAGAGCATAGGCAACCTGCGCGGTGGGGAATGGCTCACGACTGCTATGCACCAGAACGCAGCTAGTCTGACTGTCAGAATGATGGCAGTTGAGGGAAGGCTTCAGCAAATCAAAGAGGCAGTGGCACAGAACGGTACGCAGGTTCTCTCGCAGAAGGGACCGCAGGGAGAGACTGTTCTTCACAACGCCAGCTTTGCCGGGCACCTCAATGTCGTCAGATACCTCACGCTGGACGGTCAATGTGATATCAATGATAAAGATGATGACGGACACACGCCTGTCCATAATGCAGCTCACGAAGGGCATACTGAAGTTGTCGACTTCTTACTATCCCAGAATGACTGTAATCCTAACGTGAAAGACAACAACGGCAGAGAGCCAATTCATTACGCTGCTCAGAATGGACATCCTGAAGTAGTAAAACTACTGCTGGACAGAGGAGGGACCAGTGTTCATGCAAAGGACGAAAAGGGCTCCACTGCAATGCATCTTGCTGCATTTGCTGGTCACTGCAGCATCGTAAAGTTTCTAGCACAGAGAGAAGGTACAGATGTGGACGACGTAGATAAGAATGGTCGCACGGCCATGCACTGCGCCTGCCAGGAAGGCCATTTCGACGTCGTGAAATTTCTGGTACTCGAGTGCAAAGCCAGCTGCATTTGTGTTGACAATGAGCACTCAGTTATGCCCCTGCACCTGGCAGCTAATAACAACCACCTGGAGATAGTGAAATTCCTTTGCTCCCAACCAGGTGTCGATCCCAATGTTGCTGATTCGCACAAACGCACCCCAGTTCACTACGCTGCCATCGAAGGCTACGCTGACATCATCCGCTTTCTCGTTGAGCAGAAAGATTGCCTTGTGGATGCCACTGACCAGCTTGGTTTGACGCCTCTTGATGTAGCGTCTCTCAAAGACCATAAGGAGGTAATGAACTTTCTCCGGGCTGCCTCAAAAGATGGGCCTAGTCAAGAGCCAAAAGTACCCAGCTTGAGTGAACTGTTTGAATCAGGTTCAGAGTGGCTCAAGGGAGCAATGGAAGGAAATCTCTCCAACCTCGAGCTACGAAAACACGCCGTCGATGGAAACCTTGAAGCTTTCAAGAAAGCTCTGCAGAAGTCCAAAGATCTCGATATTCAAACTGCGAAAGGTCCCGAGGGGGAAACGATTCTGCACAACGCTGCATCTTCGGGCCACCTCAACATCGTGGAGTACCTGATCGACGAGTGGAAATGTGATGTAAATTTCAAAGACAACGACGGGCACACTCCTCTTCACGTTTCGGCCCACGACGGTTACCTGGAGGTGGTGAAGTACATTGCATCGCAGGAAGGGTGTTGCATTGATGCACTTGACAAGCACCAGCGGATGCCCCTCCACTACGCTGCACAGAATGGACATCCAACTGTTGTTCGTTACCTCGTGCAAGAACACGGCGCAAAACCCATGGCCGAAGACGTGAAGGGTGTTACGCCTTTCCAGCTCGCTGCCGAAGCAGGTCACTCTGACATAGTCAAATGGTTTGGTTCTCTGAATGAAGTGAGGCCTCTACACAAGAACAAAGTAGGTCGGACTGCACTACACTCTGCCTGCCAAAATGGATACTTGGAGATAGTTAGGTATCTCGTGGAAGAGTGTAGGGCTGATCCGATGGATCAAGACAAAGCAAACCATGTTAATTCCGTTCACCTTGCAGCCGGGAATGGCGCATTTGAGATCATCACCTTTTTTGCTTCCCTCGGGGAAAAGTGTAACTTTGAAGCAACGTCGGGCAATGGGCGCACAGCTCTTCACCAAGCCAGTCAAAATGGACATTTTCCAATTGTCCAGTACCTCGTTTGCCAACAAAAATGCCCAATTATGTGCCGAGATGAGCAGAACATAACCCCTCTCCACCTGGCCGCATTCAACGGCCACAAAGATATCATCGTCTTCTTCATGGGTCGAGGGGAAAACATCGACCCTGCACACAGGGACGGGAGCGGGAGGACCTCGCTTCACAACGCTTGCCAGCAAGGAAAACTCGAGGTCGTCAAGCTACTGGTTGACGAATACGGCATGGATATTTCCGACCCTGACAAGTCGCACGGCGTCACCCCTCTTCACTTGAGCGCCTCGGCAGGTCACCTGGAGATTGTCGAATTCCTTGTCTCAAAAAACCCCAAGCAAGATGCCGAGGATGAACACAGGCGAACACCCCTCCACTATGCCTGCCAGAATGGGCACATGGAGGTGGCAAGATATCTCTACGAGAAGTGTAAGTGTGACAAGGCAGCTAAGGACGGAAACGGTATAACACCCGAACACTTGGCTACAATGAACGGACACACCCAGATTGTCCGGATGCTAAACGGCGAGGCAGCAGGGGGCGGCCCAAGAGAAGATCAAAGCGTAAGAAAGCTTCAATCACTCCGTTTTTGCCTATTGGCAACTCTCTGTTTACTTTCACACTGTAGGCACAGGCGGCAGCTCTCCTGAGGATGTTTGCAGAAGCTCAAGGTGGTGAAGATGGCAGCGGGTATGTATTGTTAAACCTCTGAATAAGGGACACCTTTGGAAACATTGAACGTGTCTTGTATTCAGAGGCAGCCTTTATTCGGAGGTAGTACAGTACACTAATGTATTAGTATGGGGCAGAACCAAGTGTCCCTTATAGAGAGGTGTCCCTATGTATTAGTATGGGGCAGAACCAAGCGTCCTTTATAGAGAGAGGTGTCCTTTATTCGGAGGTTTCACTGTATAGTGGTGTTAGTTAAGAATTTGTGCTTTTATGGAGTTCTTTTCTCTCTCTTCTCTCATTCACACTACTGCAGAGGTATGCCACAGCAGTGCCTTCAACAGTAATACTGAACTAACAGTGTGTATGTAGTACCACTATAATTAAAGTATAGTTTTGTCTCAAAATCCAGTACGTTTTTGTGCAAATCTTGTATCTTTTACTAATCTAGCTGTATGCCTTATTATGTAGTTTTGTTTTCGAGGACCAGCTTGGTTGTAGTGTTTAATGTTTATATATTATATATAATTATATATACACAAACTGAACAGTAATAAAATTTGCAAAATATTATGTGAGTATACATAGGTGAAATGAAGAGAAAGAGATCAGGCTAAGTATCTGTATGTATCTTTTGCTCCATCTACACGTTCCAAAAACTCTTTTTCGATCAATATATCGATACATTTCTGCAAATCATGAACAGTGCCATAATCATGCTTGCTTGCATGGGGGCTGCTGCCTAGAGAGGGCTTACTTTGATTACGGGCACTTTTGGTCTGAATCGAGACGACAGTTGTTGGAAAACTTCCGCTAGTAACGGTTGGTGCTTTAGTTCTTTCCTCATCTTCATGATCCGAACTATGGCAGCCTTTGGAAGTAACAGTAAACCATTGACGGACATGACTATTGCAGCCATAGTACACATTCAACACCATTGTAAGAACTACCGCGGAGCCTCGCTATTCCAGCCACACTTGGGAAAAGTAGTGAGATGGCCGCATTTCATGAAAAGGTCTATTCTGAGAAGCATACATGTGTTCATCAATCCGCGCCTAAAGCCATTGACTGCTTAGCTAGGTAGCTGCTTCTCAGAGGCTTAGATTAGCGAGGTTCGACTGTAAAAAAAACTTGCATTCCAGATTACTACTACTACTGTGTTAAGTTGTGATCTGCTTTACGTCTCAGGTTTTCGTTCTAGAAGGTTCTTTTGTACTGTATATACCTGGATGAGAAGCTTCCTGTCTTCTTCTACGTTCTTGTGTGTGGCCTCTTGCTCCTGTTTCTGCTCGGCCTTTACAGGAACGATGATGTTCACCCGCAACTTTTTGCTGTAGCAGCATTAGCACACATGCCCACATGAACTTTCATTCAACTGCCCTTTAATCGTGGCCTAAACCACAAATATCTCACTAACAAGCACCGTTAAAAAGGCCCCATATGCACTACTAGGGAACTACTATACACAAGTGCTCTTCCCCCCTTACGAAAAGGAAAAAAAAAAGAAAAAAAACCCAAAAAACTTAAATCAAGCATTACTTTGTTGGTGAACCGTAGCTACAGGAAATTATGACTGATATGTTGGCACCTTTTGTAGTTGGGGTTCACTTGAAGTACTGAAGTCGATGATAAATGTTCATCTTCAGTTACCTACAGTACATTGTGACTTGTACATAAAACATTTAGCCAGGATTATATATATGATATTCTCTTACCAAGAGCTTTGTCTTTATTAACGTACCTATGACCTGCTTCACTACATCCTGCATTCGCGGGCACCATACGAATAAAAGAATAAAGTATTACACATCAGTATAGGCACCGTACTGGTTTCAGTTGTGTGACGGATTCGAAGTCGCCCAGTCTTATAGTCACGTGATTGTTGAAGAGCAGCAAGACGGCCATCTGGTACGTTGATGCCTATTAATTTGTGTGTGGAACCGCTTATAGTGGACGCTCTGAGTGAGCAAAGGATCACATCTCTCTACTTACCTGAAGTGTGTAGCGGTTCTTGAAACAGTGGGTAACCAGCTCACCCTGTCCAACAGAATAAGTGAAGTATAATTATACTCTATGAATTATATCTACTAACACTAGTCAGAAAAAACTTTAGTAATGAGTAAGTGAAGGATTACAGTGGAACGTAAGGACAACTGTTGGTTAGTTTTTGCATTGACACACTAGCAATAGCACAATGTGTGCATCATCTGTTGTTCTGCAGGCCTGTCAGTAAACCTAATAATCTTAAATCATTTGAGGCTGTTGAATGTTGTGTAGATATTCCATTTTGTTGGTTTACGTTCCACCCAAAAGCTACACTGGCATTAAAGGCGCACCTTGCTCAAGTGGTAGAGCCAGTTTAGCTTCCTCCCGTTGTGCTGCGTGGAGTAAAACTCCACAAACCGTCGCTGGCTCTTCTGCAACTGAAGTGTGATTGAAAAACACACTATAAAGGCCAATCCACTACATGGTGCAACTCTGTTGTGTGAGACGAAGATTCATGCAAATATTTCTACGGCTAGTGTGCAATATTATGATGCAACAGGTTGATGATCCTATCATGGCCATACATATATTTGGCACGATGTGTTTTATCGCATGCCAATGGCCTCTCATTCATATACCTCAAGAGGGAGAGCGAAAGGAGGTCCTTGTTGAAATGGCCACGACCCAGAACTCAAGACATTTATCGAGAAATCAACTGAGAAAAAGAAGCAATTGGACAAAAATATGCAAAGATCCACAATTTTAGAATGGAATGAAAATTGGTGAAAAATCGAGGCTTACCGTCCAGCGGTTCACCGGAGGTAGCGATGCGATTCTTGAATCTCTCGTTGAGGTCTTTACTGAGACTCATGTCCTGAAACATCCTCTGCAGCTTGCTGGTGTATTCAAAACCACACGCTTGCTGGACAGAGAAACAGAGAGGGAGAACCTTAAACCTTTGTGTAAACTAGAAACTGTTGGAGCAGATTTAACACACACGAAATAGTTTGCAGATCGAGTTCCCTAGAATACTAGTTTTGTGACACTAGGCAAGTTGTGGTAGCTGTAATCTATACTACAGTTCATTTCTGGGCCATAAGAAAGGTGCCTCTGGTATAATACACACAGACTGACCTTTAGTTTTGAGATCATGCTGGCCTCAGCGTCATCCGAGGCAGAGTTCTGCTGGACCAGTCTCTTGGCCAGTAGTTTCGAGTAGAACTTCTGGAAGACATCTTTGTCCTCCACGTACCTGAATATCACCATCTGCAACAACATTAGAGAACCACTTACAATCACTCAATAAGTGCACAGTATTAGCTATAATACCACTGATCAGGGGGTGGAGTTAAATGAAAACTTTTTGCGCACACAGGCAAACTTTTTTCCTTTTTTCGCACGCAGTTAACGTTCTACTTACTACTTACCACGTTCTGAAGTGCTTCATCCATTTCTGTCTCGTCTGGATTTTTGGCACTGTAAATATGAAATTGAAAGCTTTAACAACTCTCCAGAGTACATGTATATATAGCACAGGCATGCACAGGCATGCAGTGTGCTGATCACAAAATAACATACGAAAATCCTCTTACCTCTTTCGAAGCAGTGAGTCGCAGAATCTTGCCAGAAGTTCAGGTGATCGCGTTGATGCCTTTGTTCCTTCCGTCACAGCATTAGTGTTGACAAACCTCACGCACGCCTTTTGGAAAGAGAATCAGAAAGTCAACGTCATTTCATGCATAAGGGACAGGGGTGAGGGCACAAAAAATAGAAATAGCGACAGAGAAAAAGTGACAACACTTTGTTTTCTCCGCACTGAACATATTTGCAAGGGGAACGAGGTGTGTAGGGTACTTGTACTCTAGTTTGGTACCTGTACTCTAGTTCTGAAGATGAGCAACATTTATCATAATAAGTATAATCTAGTACATACACACCTTGTCCAGAGCCTGTATGAACCCGGTGTCTCCCTTGAATGCTGCCTCCACCATTATCTTGTACTTGTTGTGTACCTCGAGGAGCGCATGTACATACAGTTTGGGGTCCTGCATCGAAAATCAAGAAAAGGTTTAATGGTGGACGTAAAAGCTGAATGTTTCACCGATAAAAGAGCAAGAACATGCTAAGTATACTCTTTTATTTGGCAGAGCAGAAAAAGGTGTATACTACATATGCCATTGAGTTTCTAGTGACTCTGTAAAACTTTGATTTTGCTATTTGGGCAGGAAAAAAAACTCCACTTTGCCCTCCACATTCACTCACATTCTGAGCCGATTGTCCGCATTTCTCGACGGCGGCCACTCCCTGTGAGTGGACGTGTGACTCGAAACCTGTCCTGCAGTTCGTCTCTACCTCTGTCCTCGGCCAGCCGGGACACCAGGGTGTACATTCTCGCCAAATCTGCAACGAAACAATAACAAATTCCGATGTCAATAGGTACAACGCAACATCAACAAAAGCTTCTCTCCTTTTAATATTATTATATGTAGAAAAGTAGGTATTATAACTACAATAGAAACTTCCCTTCTGTGTTGCATAACTAATCATCGTATAAACTTTTGTGGTTAACTAAACAAATATACGTATGTGCATTAATCCCGAATGCTACACCTGTATATAAACGTTTGGTATACCACACACAAATAATAAGGGAGTCAGCAAAAATTGGTGTGAATTTTAATCCCCTTGTGATCATGATGCATTCTGAAGGAAAGAGAAAAAATAGGTGTGTGTGTGTGTGCGCTGCATTTTTACCATTGTCACGTTCGTTGTGCAGGAGACTGTTGAACTCCGAGAGAAAGACTTCGAGATAGTGTTGTATGAGTACCGTTTCACACGTTGCCGCAAGCTGGAGAAAGGAGAGGGAGATAGAAAGATGGGGGGGGAGGGAGGAAAATTCTCACCTCGTCCTGTGTGCTTTGGTGTAGATACACTGACACTCTTTTCTGCTCTTCCCGCAATCTCTGCTCAACCTAAGACAACACACAAACAACAATAACACTTACAACAAAGTAAACAAACAAACAAACAAACAAACACTGACTCTCTTCATGTATTCGGTGACTGGGTTGTTCTCTAGAAACGAGGCACTCTCTGCCGCATAGTAGCATTCTGTATCGGCGAGAAATCCATCCTCAAAGGACTCCTTGTAGATGGTCAAGTTTTGGCCCTTTGCCTGCGGTGCTTCTGGCTTGATCCCTAGTTCAACTAGAGAGAGGTGGGGGTGGAGAAGGAAGAGAGGTAAGGGGAAGAGAGAGAAAGGAGAGAGAGGGAGAGAGAAAGGAGAGAGGGAGAGCAAGGGAGAGAGAAAGGAGAGAGGGAGAGGGGAGAAGAGAGGGAGAGCGAGGAAGAGAGAAAGGAAAGAGGGAGAAGAGAGTGGAAATGGCGAGTAGAGAGAAAAAGGGAAAAGACAATTATGATACACAATACAGAGAGAGAGAGGGATGTTACTGATCTCACCGTAAGAGTCGACCATGCCACTGATGAGTCTCGTGTTGATCGTTTCTCCGTTTCGCTCCCGTTTTATCAACTCCAGCACTGCATTCGTGACCTACACACAAAACCGCAAATCTCTCCAATTTTCTCCAACACACACACACACTAACTCACCCCCACGTGCATTGGCTTGAAGATGCAATCCTTCCACGTCAACAACGAAAGCTGCACGTTCATAAAAAAATTAAAGGCTTTTTCCTTCAAATTTTTGGAGGGTGGGGGAAAATTTTTGCCCCGTGCCCCCCCCTAAATAAACCCTGCCTCTCGGGAGGAACAACTCACAGAGTAAATGTCGTGAATGTCTTTCTTTCCCTCGTCGTTCTCTCTCTTCACCCAGTGACGGTTGAGGTACTGGCAGATCCCGTTCAGAACACGACTGGAGAACTGAAACTCCTCCCAGGCTTCTGTGTAGAACTTGAGAACCAGTTCGCCGTGGAGCCCTTCTCCCCTCTGGGGGGGAAGTGAGGGAGGAGTGCAGTGTGTGTGAATGGCCAGGAGTGAATATTACTATTCCATACTCTAGCTATAGTCAAACTATCACGGGTGATTGGTTTGTCTTTTCTTCCACTCAAGTTCTTTTAACAAATGCAAAACGGTTAAGACCCTTAACTAAGGGGAAGGGGGCAGTATATACTGTAAATGGCTAACTGAAAGTGAATGCTAGTATTCCACACTCCAACTATAGTCAAACTATTATGGATGGTTGGTTTGTCTTTTCTTCCACTCACGTTCTTTTAACAAATGCAAAACGGTTAAGACCTTTCACTACAGGGTGAAGGGGCCAGTATATACTGTAAATGCTAACTGAAAGTGAACGCTAGTATTCCATACTCCAACTATAGGCAAACTATTATGGATGATTAGTTTGTCTTTTCTTCCACTCACGTTCTTTTAACAAATGCAAAACGTTTAAAGGAGGGGGGAGAATTGTATTTGCAGCGAGATAGAGACGAGATAGGGACAGCGATATAAGGGGCAGCTAATAATGCTAGATAGGGACAGGACGAAGAGATAAGGCAGAGGGAGAGGAGAATGACCCAAACACAAAGAAATTGAAAGTGAAAACTCGGTAAATACGTTACAATGTTACATACAGGCTCAATGGATGAGAGATGGGTCCTCAGAAACTTTCTCAATCGAGAGTAGAGCTCGATTCCCACAAACTGAGCCCCACTGGCAACTGGAGCGAGAGAGAAAAGTAGTGCAAAAGAAAAAGGCCAGGTTATTAAGGACACAGCACCTCTGTATGGTTTGGAATATTTCAACAATTCTTCCCGAGGACACATTGATTTTTAGGTCACCCAAATTCCCAACAATCATATTCAAATCAGGACCCTCGATAATTTTCCACAGCAATCACTTGTAAAATTCAGCTCATATACACCCTGAACTATTTGCCCTCTCCGCCTCCTAATTCTCAAAAGACAGACAGACAGACAGACAGAGAGAACAGACCGCTAGCGGCAGCTGCCCCCTTCCTTCCTCTGCCCTGTTTCAGTGGAGGAGCTATGCTGGCTCCGTGAACCGGCTGTTGGATACTGGTGCAGTAGTTATACACATGTCTGTGTATCGCACATCACATTAACTAGTTAGGGATTTCAACAATTAGCCTCAGACATACCAGGGTACACGTATTGTATCATCTCTACTACGTCCCGAGAGAGGAATGGTAAACATTGCAATACACTGGAACTCTCTAATCCATACGCTAATGGGACAGAACAAAGTGTCCATATTAGTGAGGTGTCCCTATTTCAGGAGTTGAATCGCATGCAAGAACTGTTCCTGGGGGAAAATGTGTCATTAGAGGTGTCCTCCTTTCAAGAGTGTATAGACTTAGAGAGGGGTTCCACAGTATATACAGACTCCATACTGAGGTATTGGATACGTATAGAGCTCCATATATCTCTTCTTTGGCATGCTCTGCTGGCTGTATATTCGCCTTATTCCATTAGAGAGGTCTCCCCATATGTCCTCAAGGTCCACCGGCTTTATGCCGTGGGGGTTGTGCGCCGCTCGACTCATGACGACAAGACCTGCGATGTAATGACGACATCATAAACATGCAACATGCCTTGTGTACATGAACTGCCATGAATACAAGTAAACTGTAGGTTCTATTTAATGCCCATCAATGCTAAACATCAGGTAAGCTGTCATATTTACAAATATTCAGCTGTGGAGAGTGAATAAGAGAACAAAACAGGGGGCCTTAGCAACCAAGACTCTCCAAAACCAAGGGAAGATCAGGGTAATAACAAAGAATTTATGCACAGAGTTCGTATTTTGGACTTATTATCCTTCACCGAGATGCTACAGTACTTAAAGGTCCTCCATTATCGTCTAGAAACTCACCTCCCTTTCCCTTTAGCCTTTACCACGCTAGCTCAGCCCCTCGAGAGAGAGCGCGTAAATTACACGCGCACCGCGGTAGAGCGCTTAAAATTGCTGCATCATCTTGACCGCAATATAAACGTCGCGCGGACTGTTCTATTTGTACGAATTGATGGATACCAAAAAATTTCACACACATTAACTAGATCCAGAAATCTTCTTCGTCTGAGTCTGTGAGGCCCTGAAACAGTTTCCCAGCACAGTCAGACTGGCCGGGCTGGAAATGTTTGTACGGATTGACGTTCAGCAGCGGAGTGCAGCACAGCCAACAGAAATGACTGTTGCAATGAGTGCAGGTCATCTTGTTACAGCCCAGCGCCTTCTCAATCTTCGCCTGGCAGTTTGGGCACTTTCTGGAGTTTGAGCCCAACCACTGCACGGAGTCATACTCCTGAAAAGCTTTCGCCAATTTCGATTTCCCGTACTGCAGTTCCATTTCTTTTCTCGCGTCGGAGCCCAGAGTGTCCCAGGCCTCGCGAAGGGCTCTGAGGTCTGTGGGTAGCAACTTGCAGGGTTCAACTCCGTGCCACGAGCGTTTGCAGAGCACGCAGAACGAGAAGCAGCAACGAGGGCACAACGCCATGTTCTCCTCGTCTTCTTCTATCAGCGTGACGCAGCGACATGAGGGACGGGGACAGTAGACAACATCAGACATTTTATCAATAGTCTTCTGTAGTAGAATTCGATCAAATCTCTCGAAGACCTCGGGACTGACCAAGTCTTGAATGAGACTGAGTGAGAGGGATTCTTCGCACGAATTACTAGGACACCCGATCTTTATGACTTCTCCGCCGGCGATTTTTGTCGTGACGTACATGGAGAGACATTCGCGGCAGTGTGTGTGACTGCATGGCTCCACGCGGCGACATTTGCTCCCGGGGACACTAGTGAAACAAATCTCGCAGTCGAAGAAGCTCTCGGCAAACGCCCTCTCTCGCTCTGTGCGATCGTAGTCGAGAAGAAACGGAACGAGGAGAGAGGGACGGAGCATGTCTTGGACGGCTCGCTCGTCCCGTTTCGACCCCAGAACCAGGGGGTCTTCGAATTTCAGGAGGAGTTTTGATGAGATGTTTAGAGTGGTGAGAAGGTCGGAGCAAAGAAACTGTTGCCACGTGAAGAGAACCACGCAGCCTTTGTCCCACAAGGAGTCCAGCTCATTGCAGAGGATTGATAGCTAGGAAAGAGAGGGGTGGTGGGATAGAGTAAATAGGCACATTCCAAAAGTACTTCACAGTTGATACTTAACCAGAAGTCATTAACACCTGCAATTCTCAAGAGCCCACTTTGTGAAAGGGGGTGTTTGTATGTATATGTTGCAGTGCCCAGACAGGACAGCATTCTACAGGGCCCTGTGCAACGGTAGGCAAACGACATATGAACCCTTCTTGCACATGTAGGATTGTATAGGCTGATACAATCCCCCAGTACCTAGCTTCATACATGTCGGTTGCCTAGGGATATCCAACAAATCCTTATAGTGTCTGCTAAAGAAGAGTGTATGTTGCACCTGTGAGAAGTTTAGCCACGAACACGCGAGTGTGAAGAATGGCTTGGAACTTTCCGGATAGTCCGGTGGGAGTTCAAAGTGCAACGATACAGGTGGGAGGTGGGCCACTCTAGAGTTCTTGGGAGGGTGAGCAGAGACCTTGCTTTCTGTAGACCCTCCAGCAGCTCTGGAGGAAGTAAGGGGAGAGAAAGAAGGCAGAAAAGGACAGTTCTTGGTGGATATAGTGTGGGAATTGTGTAAACCAGCAAGGTAAGCGCAACTCACCGCTCTCTCTTGGCGACGCAGGGCTCCAGCTCGTTCTCCAGACTCAGGAAGACCTGCAGACGGCCGGATACCCTGCCGTCGGGTCCTTGTCGCCACTCGAACTCTCCCGCCCTCCCGGCCATGGCCTCCAGCAGCTCTACCTCGTCCAACTGTTCAGCTATACAACCCTCTACGGGCCGTGGCGGCTGCTCCAGGACGTCGCTGGACGCAGAACTCGCCGTCTTTATCATCCCCCAGCGACTTTCTGCTTCTTCTCCGGGACCCGCTAATGTTTACATGCCTTCGGGATTTGCGCGCATGCGTAATTTGTCACAGCCGAGCATGCAGGGGGTGTGGCCTGATAAAAACACAAGACATGACAATACAAAGTTTTCCACAAAACATAAGATCTATAAATATGTAAAACTTCATCTCCTCCAGGAAGACTTGACTGGGATTTAAAATATTGTGTATCCAGCATCTGAGCCACCGCCCAAGACATCCCTGGGGGCCTGCGTCATGACGACACTCTGTCCCTGTTGAGCAGCCGCCTGAGCTGCAGTGGGGGCCACTCCCGGCGGAGGAGGAGGGATGTGGACAGCTTGCCCCGGCGCAAAACGCGCTCCCTGGTCAAACACGCCAAGAGGGGCTTGTGGTTGCTGTGGAAAAGCTTGTGGGGGTTGGGGAGGGTATCCGACATATCCAGGAGGTGGTTGGTTGTACGCTGGAGGTGGCTGACCATATGGAGAAGCTGTAGAGGCAAGAGAGAGGAGAGAGAAAGAGAGAGAAAGAGAGCAGAGTGTCAAGGAGAGGTAGGGAGAGAAGGGTGTTATACAAGTCCTTTAAAGGACTAGCAGGAAGACTTACCTTGTGGTTGTGTGGGGTAGGCAGCTTGAGGTGTGGACTGCTGGGTTGGGTAAGGCGTTCCACCTGCGCAGCGAACGAAAAGTAGCCCAGTTACGTGTAGGCTACCAGACTCGCTCGCTAGGCGCTGTCTTACCAGACATGTTGGAGGAAGATTTCTTGCTCTTTCCAAACAGCGGCATACAGTGCAAGCTGGTCAGGGAACGAAGACAGGAAGAAGCAAGCTTACTCCGCGACTCTAGCTCCTTTATTTTAGCGCTCATGCGCACTGCACGCGTTGTTTTATACCAATGATTACGTCATCAAGTCATGAGATGATAGCGGATATCCGGCCGGATATTGTTGCAAATTTCAACACGTGACTCACAATCAATTCTTCTTGCACATTGCATCATCATAATAATCATGCAAACAAAAAACAGATTTTCATAGTTTCGACCTAGTCAACCACGAATGTGCCTGAACGTGAAAAACAATCAAAACAAACAATTTAGAATTCAGTTTCTGCTCACCTGAGGCTTTCTACTCGAGTACGGGTCAATAATGACGTTAATTACTAGGGGTCTCCCCCGTTTATTTGCCGTCCGCTCACGAGAGAAGGCGTAGCCCATAGCCCATCTTAGCTGCTCATGCGTCTTCACTAATATTCCTTCTCCCAAGAACGCCTTGCCAAGATCGTGGTAAGCTGCTCCTGGTAGCAGACTTGTGGCGGGAGGCTACATTTAGAAAAGAGCAATCTTCAAACAATAACTGAAAAGTTTTAGGAAACGAGCATTTTACGGTTGCTGGAGTGTGGGTTAAAATGTTTGCTACATACACCAATAAACAAATGTACAGCAGAGGGTTATTTTTAACCCCGATAGAGGGAAATATGTCAGGAATGCAATCAGGTCAGAGGCTTCTTTGACCATACAACAAATTACACCGCTTCTTATGGGAAAGTTAATTTTTGTGGGTTAAAATGTCTGCTGTGATATCTCAATGCCATTGTACTGCATTTTTATACTTATTCTTGGTGGAAGGTATTATTTCGTACCTCAGTGGTAGTTCGGGCTCTTCGTTGAGCTCTGTCCAGGTCTCAGAGTCCACACCGCGATATATACCGCTGTTGTTCATCACTACAAACACTATTGGGAGCTGATACCTGCAAATGTTCAACAAGAGCTTTACTAATCACATCCTCTACAAAAATGCCCATCCCTATATACTAAGTACTACCATACTGATATAATGACGCCAATTCAAGGTGAATAAGAGCTTCGTTATGTTATCACATCCTCCACAAAAATGATGCAAGGTGCATAATTTATGCAGAAGCTGCTACAAAGTTTGTTCTACAAAAAAGTAGGTGTGGCTAATACATTTCCATAGACCTGCTATTATTATGTCCGTAAACTTTTGCGTTTTGAAAGTTCAGTGCTACACCAGTAGTATAGATACCTTGAGGCAGTTTCTAGCTCCATTCCGGAGAAGCCAAATGCACTGTCTCCTTGTATCGCCACCACCGGTGACCTCTGTCCGTCTGGTTTCCTCTGCTCTATCAGAGCTGCCGCAATGGCGTAGCCACAGCCTAGCCCCATGGTCCCAAATGAACCTGCATCTAGCCTTGGAGAGAAAGAAAGCGAGAGTGAAAAACCCACCAGGCGTGAAATATTTCAGATAAAACTCTTACTGTGTGCAGAGAAAACATTGTACAGTGGGGACACCATTTCTCTCTCATTTCCAGACCAAATATTTCTCGCTTCACTAAGTTACAGGAATAAAGAAAGTTCTCGCACCCTTTCCCGTAACTTTCACCTTCAACTAACACGAGAACCTCTACCTTCTTCGTGGAAAGTGAGAGAGAAAAACAGTACGTCCAATGTCCATCGTCGCTGACCCTTCATTCACTAGTACAGCATTGCGAGGTATGTAGTCTTTCATCTGAGACGCAGGACAAATACTACTTTCAACTCGAGTTTGAGAAGTATATATCTTACTATATCGTACGCTGCATAGAAATTCATTGGTAGTGAGGTAACTGAAGCTAGCTCCTGTGGGAAAAAGAACACGATCATTAAAACTGTTCATCGAAGATTAAAAGAAGAAGCAGGAGAAAAAGGGGTGGGCGAGAGAGAGAGAGAGAGAGAGAGAGAGAGAGATACCTTGTTGATGTTCATGTTAATATGAATCTTTTCCTTCAACCTAGACCACCACTGCCCATCTCTATCCATGACCCACTGCCCAAACTCTTCCACCAACTGAGACGAACGGAAACGATTTCCTCGTTTTTCCAGATTCAAACCGGTTTTTAGCCGGACAGACCTGTTTCAGAACTGGCTTGAGGTGCCCGTGTAGCATCAGGTGAGCAGGGACATTGTTACTAAACTCCTCTGGACATATCTCCACCTAAAAAAATCCAGCATATAACTAATAATCTGAGGAAACACTATCCTAGCTTATACACTTAACGAATACAAATTATCATTAAAATATACACCTCGCCAGTAGGACGGCTGATACAGGATTTTCAATTGAAATGCGTTTCTGGCAGGGCATAGGTTCTAGCAATGTGGCCAACGCCTGCGCCCGACGCACGCTTGTGAATTGCCAAAATCAGTAGTGAAACTATCTTTTAGTGGAGCTATATAAGGTGGACCTGTATGATCTTGACGTCTCTGCTGAACCGAGGTGGCAGTCCAAAATGGAGGATCCAGTTGAGCCTTGCTCCCAACAGCAGAATCACGTCGGCTTCCTGCAGAGCCCTACACACACATACACACACCAGCCACCACATCAGTATTGCAATGTGTACTAATACCTATAGGCATTGTACACAGCATCATAGATGTTCGGTAACGTAGGAAGATGTTTGGACAAAAGGGGGGCTCCACACGCATGCGTAAAAACACGTAGGCACTGCCACACCCACTTATTTTCTACGCGCGAGCCCGAGAAAATATAGGGGGGCTCCAGCCCCCCCCCGGAGCCCCCGTGGTTTCTACGCCACTGATGTTAGCGAGTTTGTTCAGTCTACTTCTTCAACCAATAGGATTCTAAATCACCAACAGCAATTATTATTCCAACTATAAGAAAACTTCCGGGAACTAGTGAACCATAACTGTATGTGTGCAGCTAATGCACCAATAGTAGTCAGGCATTGTACACAGCTTGAGAAACCAAAAACTTCCCCTAGTAAGGCCTTTCAAGTTCAGTTATAGTATCCCCCTACCCACAAGAACGTCAGGAATTTGGCAATTATAAAGTTGAACCTCGGAATAAGAACACAATTGGACCATAGAGGTGTCCTTTCCTCAAAGATTAAAGAGATGCATCCTTCCTCAAAGAGTAAGTTACCTCCGAATAAGGGAAACGTTGGATGGCGTTCCGTATTGCGAGGTTTCACTTCGCCCTCTGAAACTAGCACTTAATTAAAACAGGTGTCTTTCATAAAGGGTGTCCTATAGCTTTTACTGTATTCTTAATTAAAGACCCCTCCCCCCCTCTCCTCCCCCCACCTTGATCTTGCTGGAGACACACAGAGTGGGTGTGCATCAGATAGAACTCCCTTCCCCATGGGAGTCGGAAGAAACGGGAGACGACGAGGGACAATCAGAGACCTGGCCTCGTGCTCCGCAAAGGCGTAGGCCACTCCTGGACACACCAGAGATGGGGACGAGAGAAAGGGAGAGAGGGGGGTGAAAAAAAGTGATGCTAACAATAGTTTTCTGTATATATTCTGTGTACAAGTGCTCTCCCTTAATTCCCCCTGAAATACACATGAAAACATTAAAAATTGCTGTTTTATTAATATCTTCATCCACCGTTAAAACATTTAACCTTGCCAACAAAAGCTGCGTTTTGCCAATGAAAGTTAATTTTTTTATTAGTGTATTCATTGGTGCAGTTAACCTTTGCCGACGATGACGAGAGGTCGCTGGGCCGACCTGAGTAGAGAGACCGCTCTCTGGACTGCTGCTGGGTCAGCTAGGCTCATGGGCGGCGGGGGACATGGCAACACCTGTCTGCCGGGACAACGCACGAGACAAGAAGTTGGAGCGAGACGAAGGAAAGGATGGAGGGAGGGAGCGAGATAAGGGGTAAGATGAAAGGTTGAAAGAGATGGAGAAAAGAGAATAAGGAAATGACAAACTCACTCTATTCTGGTGATTGGTACAGCATCGCTGGTCATGTTGCCAGGAATTTCAATGTAGGATGGACCCGGTCGTCCGTACAGACTGGACCGAACTGCCTGAAGAACGAAGAACAAAGCCAGAGTCAAAGCCAAGACATCTCGCTAGAAATCATGTGTGCGTGCTTGACCCAATCAATGTGTGCATGAACCAATCAATGTGTGCACGACCCAATCAATGTGTGCGCGACCCAATCAATGTGTGCACGACCCAATCAATGTGTGCACGACCCAATCAATGTGTGCACGACCCAATCAATGTGTGCACGACCCAATCAATGTGTGCGCGACCCAATCAATGTGTGCACGACCCAATCAATGTGTGCACGACCCAATCAATGTGTGCGCGACCCAATCAATGTGTGCATGAACCAATCAATGTGTGCAGGAACCAATCAATGAGCACATGACCCAATCAATGTGTGCGCGACCCAATCAATGTGTGCGCGACCCAATCAATGTGTGCATGAACCAATCAATGTGTGCATGAACCAATCAATGAGCACATGACCCAATCAATGTGTGCGCGACCCAATCAATGTGCGCAGCACCCTTCTGTTCTCACACTTCATTTCTGTGCTTCATCTATGTAGTAAAGCGTGAGCTGATATTTACACGACCCAATCAAGGTGTGCCCCAGCAGCCCTTCTCTTCTCACACTTATTTCTCTTCCTTCTTTCTATGTGTAGTATGTAAGTAAAGCGTGAGCTGTTATTTTACACGACCCAATCAATGTGTGCAACAATAGTGCAGTAGAACCAACTAAAAACGTGAAAGACGTGCTGGAATAATGAAATTTGTCCTAAATAGAGATGCGCTTTTCCGTGTAAAATTACTGAATTTAAGGTGAAAAGAATCAGACAAGCGTGCACTAACCTTCTCAACATGGAAAGGAATTGATTCAAGTGTCTCCAAGCGAACGGCATACTTACACCTCGAGCAGTCCTCCAGCTACAGTAATACATTGGAACTCCTCTAATCCGGACACCAATGGGACGGAAGGAAGTGTCCACATTACCGAGGTGTCCTTATTAAAATTGCATGCAAGAACTGGATCTTGGGAAAATAAACGGCGTCCTCGTTTCAGGGGCGTCCTTAGAGAAGCGTTCCAAAATAAAAGAACAGGAACGGTGTGTGTTTTGTGGCGTGACCTGAGGCCATTCCTGGAAAGCTCCCATTCCGATCTGGTCCTGGTCACACCCCCCTGCCACCACCAGTAACGGCCTGGAACCAAAACCATCACGTCTTCAAGTCAACACACACACACAGAATGAAACCTACGCATGCCATTATGCATGATTGGTCCATGCTACAAGTAACACGGAAAAGAATAGTGTACATCATAATACTTCATACTACTTGATCCGTGAAACTGTTAATGTGCTAAAGTTGTACTTTCAACACACTGTAAAATATTTTTGTGTAGCAGGAAATTTTTGTGAGTAAGGAAAATTTAGCAGGACAGTAGGCCCCCGCACACTACAAATTTCACTGGATGGGGCTCAAACTGTGAACTGTGGTTCATTTCAATGTAGGTGTGTATGGGGGGGTGTGTTAGTTCCTACCAGCAGTTGACGTGTGCATTGGCTATTCCTGGTAGGGCATGTATGAGACCTGGACCTGTGACCACCAGACAACAGCCTGGCCTGGGAAGAGAGAGGGAGAGGGAGGGAGGGAGAGAGAGAGAGAAAGGAGGGAGAGGAGAGAGAGAGAGAGAGAGGGAGGGAGAGAGAGAAGGAAGGGAAGGGGGGATGGATAAAGATATCTAGTGACTACTAAGCTATCTCACATAGGGTAGACCTGATGTGACCCAACAACACTGAGCTAGGAACTAAGGTAGTGTATGCTTTGATCCAAGAATCAGATTATACCACCTCAAACTCCACAAGGGTGGCAACAATGGCCCAGACTGTCTTCTCCACAGCCCCATACAAAGACAAGGAAGCCAGAGCTTGTTACACAACACTACACCGGTCTGCCCAGGCATCACCATCTGCACTGTTACACACCCAGCTATGTAATTCCGTCCTTCCTCTCTTCCTCTTTTGAGCCCCACAAAAAAACCATCAGAAAACACACCCACACACAGGAGAGCATTACTACTTTCAGAGAAGACAACTTTTTGTGTTTCAGCAGCAAAATATTTTTGCAGAGATCTTCTTGTCCTGCACTAAAAAGTGGTCCCAACCCACAAAACTTTCACGCAAAAAATTCCGTGGATACATTAATTTTTGCTAAAAAGGAAGCAAGGTTTTGTTAAGCTATTGTGCCAGCACCTCAAACAGTAGTCAGAGCCAACTCGAAACCAGCTGAGCTTGAAAACCTGCCAAATAATCCAACGTATCGGTTTCGTTAGCTGGCACGACACGCAGGTCGGGCGACACGAAAGCCACTTCTGGCCGGCTCACTCCGAGACACACGGATACCAAACTGCCTTCAAGTGGTCGAAGTATGCGATCTAGTCCAGCAAACAATGGATGCGGTGGCAGTGCAAATGAAGCGGTGGTTCCCTCGTTCAGCTGGCTGCCAAAGCTCGGAGCCAAATTTTCACACCCACGGTACTACAGCTGTATAACATGGCGCGACATCTACCGAGCTGAAGACTGAAACACTGTACAAAATTTAGTGACTTCGTGGATATCACAGATTTTATGCAAACGTGGAAGTATACATAAGTTATATTCTGCGCTTGGTCTGCAATGGCAAAATCTTTGTATGCTAGTGTGTGACCTAAAAAACTTGCCGGTGTGACGTATATACATTAAGATGCCACTATATTATTGACCTTCAAAGAAGTTGTGTATAAGTTCTTGTTTCCAGTAAGGCTGTATTGCTATTGAGGCTTACAATCACTGTAGTTATAGGCACTGCAACCAACACAGTATCATCATAACCATTCTTGAATGGACTAATATCGACACACCAAGCATTCGTGGCTACATTTTCGACGCTTTCTTTAGCGTACCAATACATTCCACATTAATGGTTGGTTACAAAATTAACCACAAACCAAGGAAATCAGATAAGACATGTGAGTGCACTTTGACCGCAGGTTTTTACCCCCTCAAGAACACGGAAATGAACAGTTTTCTTGGAAAAATGAAGGAAAAAGTTGTAAGTTTGAGCATGCACGTGTGCTATCATGTAAAGTTGATTTAAATAGGTTACAACAGTTAAAGTGCTGTCTACTAAGTGCAATAAATCTGTCTGCCCAGTGCAATAAGGACTTAGCACACCTTAGTGCAATAAATCTGTCTGCCCAGTGCAATAAGGACTTCAGTGCAATAAATCTGTCTGCCCAGTGCAATAAGTACTTTAGAGATCAGGGCTGCAGTAAACCAATCCCAAACCAGTCACAATACTGAAGCCAGCACAAAAGTAGGAAGTGCAGGGAGTGAAGGGTAGGCCCCAGTCACGTGGACCACCAGCCCACACAATACCAATGTACCACCACAGTGGCAAGCTGGCCTTACCAAATCCCCATTGGACATTGTTACACACAAATACCAGAGATAGACACAACACAAGCTGGTACTGGCTGTGAATCTCTTTCCATTATCAGGACTAGCTGCCCATTTCCCTAGCACACTCTCCCTCCACTCCACCACCACTATAATATACCTCTCATGGATTATACCCTACATATAGCAGATAGTGGTCACCCCAACACCGTTGGATAGAAGGTGAACAGCTGAGCTGGCCAAAGTCCCAGGAAACATCTTACCACCAAATTGTGTCCTGCAAGCAGATAGTGGTCAGGGTTGAGTTGTAGCTCCAGTAGCCCTTTAGCCAACAAGTGAACTGGCAACCTATTATCTTACCACCGCTATACTCCTTGCCCACAATTGAAGAACAAATAGTCCTTACATCTGTGATGGGTATATGGATCGTTCCACACAAGCCTACTACCATAGTAGTAACTAGACATGGTCTAAAAGACACTCTGTGTTCATATTTCCCCACACACGCCTGTCACAGTATTAACATGAAGACCTGGAAATATAAACTTTAAATCCTTTGAAACGCACTTTACCTTCCAGTAAGATAACCCACAACAGACGCTGCATAGCTGGCCTAAAGGGAGAGAGAGAGAGAGAGAGAGAATGTGTGTAAAACATACATCACACAAAAGAGACTGCGATCTAATCTGAAGTAACTTTGTGTGCCAGGAACACTACAGGCTAACCCTTTACAACATCAGACTTCAGAGAGTGTAGTGAGGGTATTGTGTTAAATGTGTTAAATACTGTGGTGGATATATCAGAGACTTGTGGTACCACTCTCTCCCGTTAGCTCCCAGTCCAACACTCCCCACCACACTATAATTACCCCAAAACTCCCCATGAACTTTCACCTCTTGCCAGTTTCACTGTACAATAGGGTTCAAGGCTACAGAAAACCCACCGAGAGATTCTGCAAAATTCTCAAAGTTGCCCACGCTTTAGCAAAGCTCTTGAAGTATATTATCTTTAGTACTATTCTTGTATCAGTCTTAACCTTCATATATAGCTAAGAGCAAAACTGGTTCCACAGAGTTGTGTAGGTTCGAGCGAGGAATCCAAGACAAAGAGGAAATGCTGTAGTAGACGGACCAAGCCCAAACTCTATCCAATGACAACAAACTCAGAACGCATTTTTAGCGAGCAAAACGCAGCGCAAAATTTCAACCGTTGACAGTGCCACAGACGAGTCGCGCAATTCAGATGAAAATGTGGGCTCACTACGCTCGCCAAAGACAAGGTAACTGGTTTAAGGTATGTAGTAGCTTGAAAGACAGAGAAAGGGAGGAAGGGAGAGAGAGAAAGTGAGAGAATAAGGAGAAAAGACGAAGAGAAAGGAAGGAAGAGGTGGTCAGGGAAACAGAAAGAAAACAAAAGCAGTGGGAGAAAGAGTGACCTATAGCCACTGACTCTAGTTTCAGAAGAGCTTGAAAACCCACAGGTGGTTGGCTGGGGTGTGTGAAAATACAACCCTTCCCAGCTCTGGTGTGGTTAGACTGAGCCACCCAGTGAAGAAGACAGAGTGTGTGGAACTGTACCCAGGAAACATTGGCCACAAATTGGCCAAGCTGAAAGCAATGGCCTAAAACAACTTTCACCACATGACAAATCCAGGAAATGGCTCGATTTTCCTGAAATCAAACGAAGCACAAAAACAGCAAGATACCCCTGAGGACATCCTCCTTTGTGTATCCATAAACAACCAACATAATCCAAAAGCATTGAAGCTGAGCCTTCCGAAAAAGCTTCATTTTACTCCCCACAACTGCATTCACTCAAATTAGCAACAATAGCACTTCTAAAGTATAATTATTAAGTGGAAAAAAAGAGTAGGAAGCCAAGTTCTTTTGATTTCCAGTTTTCTTTCTTCTTTTTGTGTGCTCCCTGTGAAATGTATACCATCTAGAGTCACATCTCTTTCTCCTTCTTTCTATATCTTTCTTCCTCTCTCTCCCCCTTTCCCCTCTGCTGCACGGTTGAGTTGGTGCGAGGAAGGAATGGCAAAAGGAAGGAATGCCAAAGGGGTGTATATACTACACAACACAAGGATTCTTCGCTCCCCCACACTCCACAGATGTGTGATGCAACTTAATCACTACTCACAGGCGAAATTCAGACCTGGGGGAGCAGAGCTAAAATCACTTTCACCTCTCCCCCCCTCCCCTCACGTGAGTTAAAATTACGTCAGTCTCGCTCCCACGTGATCAAACAACTTACGGCCTGCTCGTTTCTCATTCCTATGTAGCCTATGCCCGCGTCTTGGAGAGCCGGAGCGATGTTTGTGACGGGAATACCTACCACTCCAAACACCCACTCAACACCCTGGCTCCTTAGTGCATCCGCAAGCAGCGCAACCCCCGTAACCGTCTCCACGTCTTCTTCACCGTCGGCCGCCATTTTTCGGCACGCCGCGGCGATGCGCGTGCGCTAATTAAATTACGCGCGTGCGTTTTAGGAAGGCAGCATTCCGCAAATCAGCTGTTTTTCGGATGTAAATAAACGCTGCTCTCTCTAATCTTGGTGGCCGCTCCTTTTCACACACGCGCGTGTGGTAAGGCATCCACGCTGCAAATAAAAAACGGGGCATTGCACGGCAAAGCTTCTTTACAAGACCGGGAGAAGCAGGCGGGAAGAAGCAACTACACCCCCGGTGTGAGGTCTTCGGCCCCTTTTTTTTTTACGTTTCTCGAGGACGGCTGTCTAACTCCCCTCGTTCGCGTCTCGGAACGTTACGCTTTCGCACCTCAGGGAGCGACTTCCGTCCGAGTATATACGCTGGGGAAAGCACTGACAGGTGCATATGTGCTCCAGTATCGTCGCTTCGGCCGCCACGTCCAATCTTGCGTACCGTTCGCCACCGTCGCGTCTCACTCCCCTGCGCTGCGCGTGTTGCAGCCCAGACGGCGGCGGGCACCACCACCACGATGCTAGGAGAGCAGCTGGAAGCGAGAGAAGAGCTGGTCGAGACGGAAGACGACCGTGAGGCGATGAATCTCGAGGAGCGTTTCGAGATTCTTGACAATCTGGGAAGTGGAGCGTACGCAACCGTCTACCGGGCGAGGGACCGTTCGCGCGGCGGAGAAGTGGTCGCGCTGAAGAAGGTCTATGTCAGAGAAGATCGCGAAATTGGTATCCCGCAGTTTATCATGCGGGAGGTGGCGAACCTGAAGCGGCTCTCAACACCTGGGCATAGAAAGGATCCGCACATTGTACGGTGAGGAACTATAGTGTGCGCTGGCGCTTGTATATACCAACCTGCAGATTACCCCTTGCTTGAGTAATGTGTCAAATTTGCTTGATTTAGAATATTTTTGCTTGAAAATGCTGCATGTCCATTCACAATGTATGGGCATAATGCATCACAGGTTAGCACAAAAAAGAGGGATTTGGCAATTTTCTGGTGGGATAGGCAATACTTTTGCTTGATTATCAAGCAAAAGCTGGAGAGTTGGTAGGTATGATATAGGACTGTAGTATTGTACACCCACTGTTACTGCTTCACTACTGTGAAATCATTTTTGCAATTGTCACCCTTGGAAAGTGAAATACATATCAATTAGCACTTATGTGATCTCTTTAGCTCTTCACTAGGGGTTTTTCACTTGAAACTCAAATTTTCCGCAATTGGTCCTCATGCACGAGTATCACATGTTGGAATGGCTGCAGTATATACAGCTATAGTAGATAGATATCTTTCCTTCAACTGACCTTACTACTAAAAGGGAGCGCAAGGGCTTGTGGTAGACTGGGGAATGCCTGCATCCTGTGTATGTGTGTGTGTCTGAATCTGGTAGACACACGCAGTATACCTTGCTACAGTGCATAACATATTCCTAGCTATACCTCTTGCTGTTTAGAAGCATTTGAAAGCCCACCCCCTAACTTCCTACTCGCTTCCCAGACAGAATAATGGGGCTGGTTGACTCGTCCGTCACCTCACTGAAGGGGGAGTGATGCAGTGTGCGCATCCTAGTGCGCATGAAAGTTTAATTCTGAATTCTCTTTCTTTCCTCATTTTAAAGAGTGAGCTGTTTATTTCGCTTTTTCCTGCATGCCGTGTTGACTATGGCTCTTGCTATATAAAGTCCTAACTTTGTTGTGCTATTTCTACCGTCGTAGTGTTGTGTTCTACCTTCCTACACACGTACGGAAATAATATGTATACAAAAAGACCCAAAGGGGTGGGAATCAGGCAGTTTACTACGTTGTTTGGCAGTCAATCAGCCTATGAATCCTCTTCCCCACCACACCTCTCTCTCTCTCTCTCTCTCTCTCTCTCGGTGAACCCTCTGTTTTCTTTTAAGACGTTTCGTAATCTGTGTGGTTTGGGACTCATCCAATGACAAGAAACCAAAACTAAATTTAGGGCTTGTTGCAGTTTATATACACAGTCAACCACAATAAGTGTGTTTTGTAATACAAACCAGTGCTTGGTAGCCACTCGGATAAAAATTGGATTTTGTTGCAAGGTTGCATACATGGTTGTAATAAGTACGTACGTTCTCTGTGTTACTTTCTACACTGAAGTAAAAAATTTTGACAGGTTGCACAAAACATTACATCATCGATCATGTCGTGTAGGTCATAAAAATGTCGTACCTGTTTTTTAAAAAATCATATATTTTTTGCTGTTTGTGCCAACAGTTTGTTGGATGTTCAGTCGGCAGAGGGGCGCTACCGCAATGAGCAGATCTTCTATCTGGTATTCGAGCACATGGACCAAGACCTAGACCAGTTCATTCGCGCCTGCCCCTCTCCTGGAATGAACGAGACCATCATTCGAGTGAGTGAGGAATTCAATGATTGGGCAGAAGTAGGAATTGGTCGATACTGAATAGCAAAATTTTCGGGGTGCTGTAAAGCTTTTCCGAAGCCACATGTACTACACTGGACTGGCCTGTGGTTATCAGCAGTTTAACAGCTGATACCAATTACAGGAACAACAAAAAAACACAAACAACAAGAAAACAAATCCTGGTTACATGACATGATTAATCACCATGGTTTCGGTACAAGCAAAGTACAAGAAATTTACAAGGGTCACAGGGTAATAAAAGAACCCATTAACTTTATCAATGATTATCTTATTCCTTGTGTTTCGGAATCATTGCACAGCCAAATCCAAGCTAGAGGATGAGTCTGAGCTACAAGCCAACCCAACACAGCTCAACCCCAATCCATGCAAAAGGGGTTGGAGTCTGTCTGATAATGAAACAACAACACTCCATTTGTTAGTATGTAATTGGTATCAGCTGTGCCAGAGTTGTAATTATCAGCTGGCTGTGTAGTAACATCAGCTGACACTTCCCTTTTTAGAGCCTGATCTAAGTAAAGCTCCATTTATATAATTAGTCATCTAATTATGCCCTGGTAAAAATGCTACTCCACTTCATAAACGCTGGACAATAGAACCAAGGAGGGCCCAGTGCAGCCCATAGACATGTATCCTTAGCCAGCGCTGTTGACCCAGGTCCCTGTGGTCCCCTATGTAAACAGAGCACCACTGTCAGGAGACACTTTGTGGCATATTGTGGTTCAACTGTGTGTTTGCCTTTGCCCCAGCCAATGGCTTTTTCTCACTTACCCCATGGCTTTTTGATATGGCTAAGAGGACTTAGGACGCCCTGTCCCCCTTTTTGATGCCTTTCTTTCGTGAGTTTTTGTAAGCTCTTTGACATTGAGTTGGTCTAAGGTGCCCACTGCCTGTTGCTTTTTGTCCTCTCTCACTACAGTAGAACATTATTGGTATAGACCCACCCACTGCTTGCTTTTTTCACCTTCGTTTTGGCTAGACTGTATCAACTGCAGGCAGTTCTTTCATCTCCATAGTTCTTCAACTGTCCCATTTCTCGATGGTTGCCCCAAAGACTTTCTTGCATAGATTACTTACTGCTTTCCTACCCTGTCCCGTTTCTCGATGGTTGTCCCAAGACTTCTTGCATAGATTACTTACTGCTTCCTACCCTGTCCCGTTTCTCGATGGTTGTCCCAAGACTTCTTGCATAGATTACTTACTGCTTTCCTACCCTGTCCCGTTTCTCGATGGTTGTCCCAAGACTTCTTGCATAGATTACTTACTGCTTTCCTACCCTGTCCCGTTTCCCGATGGTTGTCCCAAGACTTTCTTGCATAGATTACTTACTGCTTTCCTACCCTGTCCCGTTTCTCGATGGTTGTCCCAAAGACTTTCTTGCATAGATTACTTACTGCCTTCCTCCCCTGTCCCGTTTCTCGATGGTTGCCCCAGGACTTCCTGGCCCAGATCCTGGACGGCGTGGACTGGATGCACGTCAACAACATCGTCCACAGAGACCTCAAACCGCAGAACATTCTCGTCAGTTGCGACGGGAAAAAGCTCAAGATCGCTGATCTCGGACTCTCAAGAAGCATCGGATCCAACGTAGTTCTTTCAACGCAGGCGAGTGTGTTTAAAACTTTACTGTTGTTTCTGAATTTAAGGTCTTGCCTCTATACACTGTCAGAATAGTCTTAGTCTCAAATTCTTTTCCTCGCAGTCATTAGTTCACGTTCTCACTCACTTTAAGGAAAGAGAGGAGGGTACGCAGAGGGGCGAAGGAAAGAAGAGTAAGAGAAGAGAAGGAATGAGTAGCGAAGCGAGCGAGAGTAAGAAGAAAGCGAAGATGAAAGAGAGAGAAGAAGAGAGAGCAGGACAGAGAGCGAACGAGAGAAAAGGAAGAGAGAAAGAATGGGAAACGAGCGAGACGAAGAGACCAGAAGGGAAGAGAGAGAAGCAAGGGAAAGAAGAGAATATAAGAGAAGGAAGGAGAGAGAAGGGAAACGCTAGAGAGACGGAAGCGCTAGAGCTCGACGAAAGGAGCGCGCGAGCTAGACGTGACGACGTCTATAGAGAGCGCGAGCGATAGCGCGACGCCGTATATACACTCTCTCTCTCCCGCTCTAGTCATCCTCTCTCCACTCTCTCTAACTTACACTATCCGCGTTACACCTCTCTCTCACAATCTATCTTACAGGTAGTGACACAGTGGTACAGAGCGCCTGAAGTTTTACTCCACTCTTCATACAGCAAGCCAGTTGACGTGTGGAGCGTCGGCTGTATCTTTGCCGAAATGATTAGAGGGAGGTAAAAAGATTATTATGACCATGTAAAATTTTACCGGATCACCAAAATTTTAGGCCTCTGTTTGCTGCCAGGAGGAAGGGTGAAAAACATCAACTGGAAGAGATATTCAGGTATATACCGTATTTCCTCGATCAGTAGCCGCGGCTACTATTTTTTTCAGCGCCACTAACCCGCGGCGCCTATTCGAGGGCGGCGTTTATTTCGCAGAGCACGGCGCGCGCTAGCTTCGCGGAGCCACGCCTTCTCCCGAGAAGGCGCGAGGCCGGCTGTAATATAGGCGTAGAGAGTTTCTGGCTGTAGCCTCTGCCATCTCATGCACGCAGCTGGCTGCTAGCTAGCTTCCAATTTCGCACCTATATATAGGCGCCTAACGGTTTGGCGTCACGTGATTGTACGCATGCGTATTTCTCTATGAATATTAAATGCGGCTACTATTCGAGGGCGGCCACTATTACACCGCGCGGACGTTACGTGCGGCGTCTATTCGAGGGCGGCTACTATTCGAAGTGCGGCGTTTATTCGAGGAAATACGGTATTTGGGAATAGTATAGTTCAAGGCTTGCAATGATTGTGCGTAGGTGGATATTTTAAGAATACCAAATTCTTTGAGGATTTGTGGATGTTGAAGTTTCACACAATGCTGTAGACCACAACTGTATATACAATGCTGTGAACATTGGTATTTTTATGAATGAACCCTCCTTCATCGTGACATTGTCACTCTTTGTCTTCACTTCGTTTTCCCCTCCCTCTCTTCCTCTCTGTGTCTCTTCTTCACCCCTCCCCCTCACACTCTCCCTCTCCCCCTCACACATACACACACACACACACATACAACCAGTATAATAGGAACCCCCACCACAGCCCAGTGGCCGGTAGAGTCTAGTATAACAGTGGACCAGTTCGTCCAATTCAAAGCAAAGCCTTGGCTACAGCTGCTTCCAGAAGCCTCCGACGACGCCCAAGACCTCCTCTCAGTATGCCACAGTACATTAGAGGGATCGTGTCATTACATGAGGCTAAATTTAGAAACGTTACTAAAGATGGAACCAAACAATAGGGCTGAGTTCAATAGTGCAATTACTTTTCTATTTTCAGTAACATATTTCTAAGTTTAGCCTTTACATATGCAACGTAGACGAGAAAATGATTGCAATGTTCTTTTTGTCGGCATGCAACATTTATAGCTTATGTTGACTAACCATTATCCATGTTACGTACATCCTTATCTTTTACTTTGTGGACTTTTCGCACAGCAAATGCTACAGTTCCAGCCGTTACAGAGAGTGTCAACAAAAGACTCCCTCCACCACCCCTACATCACCAGCAAGGCCTCCCAGGACGAAGTGGAAGAGGAGGAGGAGGAGGAGGAGAGGAGGGTTACAAGACACCAGACTCCACCCAAAACAGCTCACACTCCTCCGACTCGAGTCCTCATCTGGACATCTCCAACTCTTCTGATTCCGGAATCCTCCCAGACTCAACCTCCTCCTCCTGTCCTTCATAGCCGGGGTGGGCGTGGTCAGGTGTAATCGTGGGTAGGGCTAAGGGACACTTTATTGTATTTATATTTCGTGTCTTTTTGACACGGTGGATTGTGATCTGCGAGTTGCGCGACGGCGTATTAAGACAACAAAAGTCAACATTAATTATTATTGTGAGATGAAGGTTGGACAATGAAATCAGTAATTATTATTGATGGGAGGGAAGCTAAACACTGTCAGACTGAACTGCTGTTTTCACTTTCATGAATCAAGGCACTCATTGTTGTAGACAATACATTTTTCTTTGGGAAGTGAGGTGTTTGTATATACAAGAGCAACTACAGTAATCCACATTCTCAACGTTCTATGTGATTATGCATGTAGCCTGTTGCGCTTTTGAGATAAAAATAAAACCTAGCCAACAAGATGTAACTATTGTATTAATCTCTGTCCCTTTGTAATTTCAATGCAAAAATTTTATTCTGACTACACACACAACCTGTTAGCTATGGATCAGACTTCCACTATATAAATGGTTTAAAAAAGTGATAAGATTAAAAGTTAGTTGCTGACTGGTTTTCCAAAGGCATCCAGCCAACAGTTTAGCTCTTTCTCGAGTTGGGTCGACTTCTCGCGGAGATCCTTCGCCACTTTTGATGGAGAGCCCTTATGCAGGTCGATGAGCGTCATTACAAGCACGATAACGTTGCCCAGAAAGACAGTCAGCTATCGCCATAAAGGCAATTGTTCCAGCCATCTTTGTCAAACTCACTTTCAACCTCGACACAACGCTGCGTAGAGCTTCTCTTGGGTTAGTGATCAATCTAGCACGCCGTCTCTCCTAAAACATCGCACAGATCTTTGCCCACTTGTTGGACGAGGACGTTACCTTCCAAGCAACTAAAAATGCTCTCAAATGCTTCGGCAATGAAGATGACTGAATGAGTGATTTCTTCAAGAGCCACCTGTGTCCATGTTTGGATCGAGGCCATGTCGGATTCTCGTGAGGGGTCAGCTAGCGCTATAGTGTTTATTACTCGTCGCAGTAATTCTCAAACTCCTTCCAGAGCTCCTTCACGGCCTCACACTGCCGCTTGTCCGCGTCGATCGCCCGCTGAACCGTCTCCAAGTCGATTTTCTCGCACACTTTCTCGGTCACGTGAGCTCCCAGTGTTGCGAATGATCCGAGGGTGGCAACTGCTGCCCCGCCGGCCGTTAAGACCAGGCCGAACCCCCAGCGTCAAGGGTGTTAACGCTACGCCAGCGGCGGCTGCAGCTGAGCCCAATATCCCGGTAGCAGACCCGGCCACCTTAGCAATGTTCCCCAGTCGATGTCGTTTGTCTAGCGCGTCGGCAATCTGGTTTAGCTGACGGAGCGTCTCAATGCGGTTGTGTACCATGAGGTCCAGGGCGGGAACCAGGAGCTGGTAGCTGTCGTAGGCAGCGGGCAGGAGCTGTTCCAATCGCTCACGACTCACCGACTTCCCATCCATTTTGAGAAAAATGCGCATGCGTGTAAAGCTAGTACACGCTAATTTTAGGGGCGGAGAAGCTGATTACGCACGCACTGCAGCTAGCTAGCTAACGACGTTATGCGTGCGCATGGCTGAGGCTTTATCCACTATTCCTCTTCAAGGCACGCGCCTTTTCCCGTTGTTTCACTTTTCCGTGAATTCAAGAGCACACACAGCACTAAGTATATACAGCATAGATTCAGCAAGTCATAAATCAGTGAAAATAGTGCATGCTGTGCAAAAAGTAGCCCAAAATCTATTCACGCTATAAATAATTGTGTTTGGAGATTCAAAAAAAGGGGGGAGCCCTTGTGAGGTACTAAGAGCAGCTGTAGTTATAATCAGGGTAATACAAAAACAATACCACAAAGTAGAACTTAGTCTCTTTTCAAATCGGTAAAGGCTTCTCTGAACTTTTTATACTCTTTTATAAGCCGTGAAGATTTTCCACGAATTTCCTCGGCAACTTTGGAAAGCGATCCATTGTGAACATTTATTGAGGTGGTTATTAGCACGAACAGATTGCCCACACCAATTGTAGCAATCAGTGTAAATGCTACAGCACAGCCTACTACGTGCGTGCTTGCTGCTATGTGCGAAACTACACTCCTCATTTGCCACACTTTTCCTGCCATCGCCTTTGCTGTAGAAACCAAGATGCCCATAAGATCATCAGCAGTTGGTGTGCCTATACCAGCATTTATATCCGTTGGTTGATTGGTAGAGGTCTTCCCTTTGGTTATTTCTTTGTATGCTGCATGAAAAGCTTCGGCCACGACGGATACCTTGGACTTCGTTTCTCTTGTAGCCACTAGAACCCACGTTTTCAACGACTCCAGGTCAGGCTCCTCCGACAGATCGGCCAATTCAATTGTTTGAACGATATCCGAAGAATATTTCTCGAAACGATCCCACAGCCCTTGCACTTTGTCGCACTGAGCCTTGTCTTTGTCCACCACCTTTTGAACTTTGGCGAGGTCCACATTTTCCAGCAGCTTCTCGACAAATTTGCGCTCCAGCCGTAGTGAGAGTCCCCAAACCCAACGCAACGCCTCCCGCAACTGCAGAGACCCGCCCGCGACTGCAGCCACTGTAGCACTGAGGCCCGCAGTGAATGGAACCAGAGCAAGTCCCACGCCGCCAACAGCCCCTGCTACCGCACCAAGGACGCCAACACTCGACCCGACTATCTTGGCGATGTTCGTATCGCGGTGCCTCCGGTCAAGTTCGTCCGCGACCGAGTTCATTGCGCTTATCGTCTCGGCTCTGTACTCCATCAACTTCTCAAACTCCGCCACCAGCTTAGTGTAGTCGGCGTAGGATTCCGGCAAAATTCCATCCAGTTTCTGCCGACTAACAGAAATGGGAGGCTGAGAGTGCGGCATCTTGTCGCAAGACTCCCGAACTAACCGATGCTGGCACACTATCTTCAACCTTTTAATGGCCACCCCCCACATTCATTGTCATGTGATAAACGTGCGCATGCGTATAATAAAGTAAAGGCCTTTCCTCATTATATCTCTGTCGTTGCTGCTTGAGGCGCCAAGCCAACCATTCTTCTGAAGTTCACACAAATGTCAATATTAAGGGTGACAATACCCCAACAGAACTAGTAAATGACACTGTCAACAAAGAGCATTGCGCTTTCTTGTCTATTCTCTATTCTGCAAACAGTTTGTTCTTATTTTTTGGGATCATAACAAGGACAAAACACAACGATCACACACTAATCAAAATTTTCACTTGAAATTTTCAAAGGCCTTCTTCCACTTGTTGTGTTCATTCTCAAGCTGTGAAGAAAGTTTGCGAATTTCTTCTACGACTTTGGAAAGAGAGTCTTTGTGTGTATCAATCAGGACTTTTATAAGGTCAGCAAGATCACCAACCCCAGCTACCAGTAGATAAATGGCAACAGTTGGTAATTCCAAAATTTGTTCGCTATAAGTGAAAAAATACTCTCAAAACTAATTTTTTCCGGTGCCATTGCCATCGCTTTGCTAAGCAATGTGCTCGAAATATCATCAGCAATGATTCAGCAGAACACTTATCTTTTGATGTGGCTAGGTCGTAGAGCGCATGAAGAGGCTAAAACCCCGCATAGACCTTTGCCCACTTGTTCGACGAGGACGTTACCTTCCAAGCGACTTAAAATGCTCTCAAATACTTCGGCAATGAAGATGACTGAATGAGTGATTTCTTCAAGAGCCACCTCTTGAAGTGTCCATGTTTGGATCGAGGCCATGTCGGATTCTCGTGAGGGGTCAGCTAGCGCTATAGTATTTATTTGCTCGTCGCAGTAATTTCAAACTCCTCCAGAGCTCTTTTACGGCCTCACACTGCCGTTTGTCTGCGTCGATCGCCCGCTGAACCGTCTCCAAGTCGCACACTTTCTCGGTCACGTGAGCTCCCAGTGTTGCGAGGCTGGCAACTGCCGCCCCGCCGGCCGTTAAGACCAGCCCGAACCCCAGCGTCATGGGCGTTAACGCTACGCCAGTGGCGGCTGCAACTGAACCCAATATCCCGGTAGTAGCCCCTGCCACCTTAGCAACGTTCCCTAGTCGATGTCGCTTATAGGCAATCTGGTTTAGATGACGGAGTGTCTCTATGCGGTTATGTACCATGAGGTCCAAGGCGGGAAGCAGGAGCTGGTAGTTGTCGTAGGCAACGGGAAGGAGCTGTTCCAATCGCTCACGACTCACGCTGGCCATCCATATTTTTTGCCGGCCGCGTAACAAAATGCGCATGCGTGTTTAAGTACACGGGCGGGGAGAGGCTGATTACGCGCGCGCGCGTGTTCGTCGGTCTCTTGCATTATGCGCAGTATATAGGGGGCCTAAGTAAGCTTACACAATTCCTGGACGAAAACAACGGGGCAATGACGTAATCATTTGGGCACCCTCGATTCTATATATAATATAGCTATTATGGGAAAAATTGCAAAAAGGGTCCAGCTATTGCAGATCACCAGTCTTCCTTCCACTGTTCGTATTCTTTCTGGAATCGAGAAGATTTTTCACGAATGTCCTTTGCAACTTCAGAGAGTGAGCCCTCATGAAGGTCTATTGATATTTCAATGAGCTCTGTAAGATTCCACACACAGATCGTAGCTATTAGCAGAAACGTAGCAACAGTAGTCACAACAAAAGGATTTTCAACTACAACACTCTTCCAGTCGACTTTTTCCACTATCTCCTTTGCTTTACAAAGCAAAGCACTGGAAACCTTTTCAGCAGTCGGTTCAGCATTTTGCTCACCCGTGCTTTTTCCATTCGATGTAGTCAGCTCTTTGTACACTGCTTGGAGGGATTCAGCAATCAAAGAAACTGCCGACTTTGTTTTTTTCGCCGCCATCAGAACACACTCTTTGAATACTTTCACTTCAGGCTCCCTAGGATTGACCAACTCAATTGTATCGATGATATTGGTGCAGTTGGTGTTAAATTTCTCCCACAGGGCCTTTACTCTATCTCCTTGCTCTCTGTCTCGGTCCACAGTCCTTTGCACTTTAGCAAGATCAACTTTTTCCAGTACTTTCTCGGTAACCTCCGTGCCTACGGACCCCGCGGCTCCCGCCATCATTGCTGTTCCCGCCACGGCCCCGAACGGTGCGCTAGCGCCGCCGGTGACTGGGGCAAGAGCGATAGCCAGCACAACTCCTGCCGCTCCAAGGACACTCGAAGTGGACGCGGCCAGCCTGACGATATTCGCGTCCCGGCGTCTCCGGTCCAGTTTGTCCGCCACGGAATTCATCTCCTTTATCGTCTCGGCTCTGTACTCCATCATCTGCTTCAGTTCCTCCACCAGCTCAACGTATGTTTCGTACGAATTCACCAGAAGATTGTCTAGCTTCTGTCGGATAGACACGGAGGACGACTGAGACTTGGACCACACGCAGCCCATGACGGTAGAGTGACTAAACGGCGGCTTGCCAAAATGAAGCCGCATAAAAAATTTAAAAAACCGCCCGGGGCTTCCCCGGGGGGGACTGCCACACCGTAAGTCCCATGCTAATAAGGTGAAACCAAAGTTAAGTAGGGGGTTGTGCTTGGGGCAAGGGGCAACGTAGTAACAGACCAATGCACAAAGTGAGTGATAAGGGGAACACACGTGAGATGATCAGACCTACAGCTATAGAATCATATGAACACCGATTGTTTCAGAAGGTATGAGGTTCACAGAGGTCCACTCTGGCTAACAGCCGACACAACCTTTCTTCTTCAACACTGAACTGTGAAAAATTCTTGCAAATTTCTTCTGCAAAGTTGGAATTGAAACTGAGAGAAGTGCTTATCAGCACAAAGAGAGTGCCCACACCAATTGTAGCCAACAGCTGAAAAGCAGCAACAGCCACCACTAGATCGATGTTTTCAGTAGCAAAAGAACCAAAATTCTTCCATACCGTTATTGCTGTATTCACCCAAGCACCACTGCTCAATATTAATTCTATTGTTGATTTTCCATTTCTTCTTTCTTCGGGAGCATTCAGCTTGTTTATAATATCATTGATAGCGTCTGTAATTGCACGTACCTCCATACGCTTTTGCAAAAAAGCAGCTCTAATCTGGGCTTTGTAAGAAGTTACAAGACCCTGAGGCAAATTACCTGACTTTACCACACACACGTAATATTTCTCAAAACAATTGAACAAGATTCCAACTTGTACGCACTGCCGTCTGTCCTCTTTCACCGTTTCCCTCAGTTTGGTGCGATATTGATTCTCCCACCTACTCCGGAAGCAGCCCGCGATGTAGGCCACTGTTGTACCCGCGACACCAGCCACCCCTCCTCCCACTATCCCAGCCAGTGTAGCTGTTTCATCGGTTGTTCTAACAGTAAATAAAACCAGTGCGATTCCCAAGCCGCTAACAAAGGCTCCTGCGAAGCCGGCACTCGATCCGACTAGTCTGACAATATTCAAGTTGCGCAGGTTAAGACCGAGTTTTTCGGCGCCTTTCACTAGTTTCACCGTCTCTTCTCTCTTCTCTTTCAACGTCTCTACCTCCTTCGTCGCCTTCGCGTGCTCCTCGTTGATCGATCGAAGAAGCTCGTTCGGCCTCTCCCACCGCTGGACCTGTCGACCAGAGGAGTCGGCCGGACGCGCATGGGGCTCTGGAGGCCGTCTGCGAATCTGCGGGCGCGGGCCGCGGTGGATTCGTGCAGCGTACCAACCGCTGATCAACGCGAACGCCCCAAGGATCAACGCAGTAGGGACCATGGTAGCTATACACAGACACCGACAGACCTCAGCGGCACGGGCGGGTTGTTGTTCTCTCCCAATCTCTTCTTTCTCTCGCTATCTCTTCTTTCTCTCGCTCTCTGCCACCACGTGACAGCTTCTAGCTATATAGCCATAAACATCATGACACAGCACAACAGCACCTATGTATGTAGCTGTACAAATGGATGGGTTGCACAACCATACGTAATGACTCTGCATAAAGGCTAGAAGAGTAGGAGACAAGCTTAGTGCTGCAGCCTTACTTCTCCTCGCACCATTCGTTCTCCTTCCGAATCTAGTTTTTCAGTGAAGCAGTGAGAGCACATTAATACAGTCTCAGTTTATCACACACTCACTTGCTCCTCTTCCTCTGGTGTGAAGTCGTTCTTTATGTTGAACGTCTTCCTGATCTCCTCCGGACTCTTACCTGTACAACAGCAAGTAGGAAGATAGCTGTAGTCTAATGCCTTGCTATAAGCTATACATCTTTACCTTTGATCATGTTGGCAACAGTCTTGCAAGTAACATCTAATAATCCCTTGATATCCAGATAGTTTGCAGCCTATAGTGATGATCAAGAACTCTATGCCAGACTTTGTAATATAAACTTCTTTTTGAATTGTTCAGGTTTGGATTAGAGCACAAAACTACCAAATTGCAATATCAGGGTGGCCTTGGACCCTAAGAAAAGCCACAGGCCACAGAATGTAGCTACAGTGTCCCCCAACAAGTGCAAAAAACTGAGTCGTGGACGGGCTGTTGCAACACTGACTGTCATCTCGTCACTTAGGTATTACACATCTAT